AAAACTCAAGTGTGTTCCTGCAGCGTGGCGGTTGGCCTAGTCTGGGCTGGGGACCCTGGTGCACATGTGCCGGGCGCCTTCCCTTGTTGATAATAACATTCCCCATGTAGTTCCTTTTCCACATTAAAGGAAACAGGGTCTCTCCTTCTAAACAAAAGGGATTCTAGGTAATGTCATGAATCCTAGATTACAGGACATTGGAAGGTTCATGTCCTTGAGAAGCCATTGGATTGGGGAGGGAAGAGTGATCCTTGACAAAAGGTCATGAATAAATCATCTGTGTTCTGAAGTCACAGAGGAAGGCTGCATGAAATGCCTTGATTCTGTTAAGTGTAGGAGAGATGAGGGGCAGGAACAAAAAGAGAAAGAACCGGTTCTATGTTCCCTGAGATGAACTCTGGAGTATTGAAAAAAACATTGAAATTAGCCCCAAATTGTCACAACCCTAGTGAATATTGGTTTATGGGGTATTTTTTAATCTCTTCTTTCTCTGTCCTGGTGACTTTTCTTATTTTGATTTTTTTTCAAGATATATTAGGCGTCTGTTAAATGCCAGACACTGTACTAGACCCCGCGGATGTGGCAGTTCAATGTCTTCAGTGGAGCAGCCCCAGGGTACAAAGATGGTTGTGTGTTGTGGGATGGGAAGTGAGTGGGATTAAAAGAAAGTGAACCCCTAAATAAGTAAGGCTCCTGGGCCATGCTGCCCGCCCCTCCCCCTTCACACCTGACTCCAGAATTGCAGGCATTTTCTCCTGTCAGGGACACCCTTTAAAACTTCCTGTCCCTGCAAATCCCTAAGGAAAAACAAGAACTAAAGCAGCCATTGTTAGCTTTCCAAGCTGCCAGAATCCTTCCCCTCTTGCTACTCCATCCAGATCATGGGGCCATTCCTTATTTTAAAATTGAGGCATAACTTTTATACAGTTAAGTGCTCAAATCTTGGTGTACAGATGGATGATGTTTAACTGGTATACACTCACGTCACCACCTCTGGGTTCCAGACCTAATGAGCTTCAAATTTGCTCCTTCTTTCCTCTCACTCTTAGGTATAATGAAAAGAAAAACAATACAAAACAATAGCATACTTTTTGAAAGTCAATATGCTGTCCAGTCATATTGGGCCTCACTTTCCTCATGTTAAAAATATATATATACACACACACATACACACACACACACACTGACACATTGACACACTGAGGTTACATAATTTTTAGAATCCTTTCAGCACCAGCTTTCTTTTATTCTAAGTGAATGGTAAATTGGAAAGAAGCGAAGTTTCTGTAGGCTTTTAAGTCTCTACACCATGACCAAGTGGGATTTTAAAATTAAGTTGGAAAAGGTAAGTTCCTCTTTGGGTAGGTTGAGAGTGGAGTACCACTTCTAATCTACAAAAAGAAAAAGTTTTCCTTCCTCATTGATGATTTCAGGCTGATTCTTAATAATTCAGCCAAAGTTGATCTCCGATATTCCTGCTCAAACTCATTCATTAGCCATGTTTTGAGTTATTCATTTCAACTTTGTCAAAAGCTCTGTTGCCATGATTTTTGTAAACTACTTGGGATTCAAATATGGACAGTTAGGAAAATGTGCATTGAAGTAGAAAAATTATGTTCAGATTTGCTGTTATTTATTTTTTAAATTAAAAATGGAAGTGCATTTTAAAGTTCATTGTGTGCTCAGTTTATTATCTATGTATATAAAAGCCAAGCAATCAGAATGGTGGAATGACTGGTTGCTACAACACACAAGGAGGCCCCGATTGGCACCCCCACCCTGATTGGGGGTGGGGCTGGCTGGCCAACCTCCTGCGTCCCCTCCTCCCCACTGGGCCTGATCAGCTCCCATCAGGGTGGGCTGGTAAGACCTCCTCTGTGCACGAATTCATGCACCAGACCTCTAGTATGTTAAGGAAATTAAATCACTTCCGAATTCCTTTTTATTGAAGCCTCCATTATGACACATCTCAACCAGAATCCCTTCTGGCCTCTTTTCAGTGCTAGTCTATTAATTTAAACTTGTACTGGGGGAATGACTATCTTTGCCTCAAAGCATTAAAAACTGCAAATTATTTGGTTCTTCCTCTTCCCCCCACCTCTCCATCCCTTTGGCATCTGAGCTGACCAGCTCATTCAATACAATACATTCTATTTCTTTACTCATTCATCACAAATAATTAGGCAGAAGTAAAAGGGGGAGGAAAAAAGAGGTTAAAAGGAGTATCTAATAACTTAATGGACAGGATGGGGACCAATTCTCAAACTAGACTGGACAACAGTATCACTTGGGAAGAGGTGATATACCCCAGACAAATGAAATCTGAATTTCTGAGGGCAGGGAATGGGACCTGGACATCACTATTTTTTTTTTTTTAAATCTCCCTAGGTTATTCCAATATTTGGGCAAGGGTGAGAACCACTAACTACCTTGGAGGAAATGACAGCTTTAGGAAATTGATGTTCTAGGTGTTCCTCTTAAATGCCTTGGTTTAAATCCTGGCTTTATGCATAAGAATTTTTTAATGTTTCAGCTCTATCAAACATTTGCAATCTTGTTTCTTAGAGCAAAAATGCTCCACTGTCTGTGTACATAAGACTCATCAGATGCTTGTTAAAAAATCAGATTTAAATCAATAGACCTGGGAAATTATTTGGAATTTAGATCCACATTGAAAAAAATACTACTTTTAGCCCAGCTGATGTGGCTCAGTGGTTGAGCGTTGATCCATGAATAGAGGTCACTTGGGTTCTCAGTCAGGGCACATGCCCAGGTTGTGGATTCCATCTCTAGTAGGGGGTATGTGGGAGGCAGTGATTGATGTTGATGTTTCTCATTGATGTTTCTATTCCTCTCCCTCTCTCTGAAGTCAATAAAAACATAAATATACTAGAGGCTGATGCATGAATTCATGCATGGGTGGGGTCCACCTGGCACACTGGATCGAGGCCAATTGGGCCCGGCCAATTGGGTGGAGGGGCTGCAAGCAATTGGTGGGCTGGCCCCACCCCCTGGTTGAACTCCTGGTCGAACTCTGGTGGAGGGGACAATCTGCATATTAGCCTTTTATTATACAGGACTATTATATAGGCTCAGTGCACAAATTCATGCACCAAAGGAGCCCCTGGGCCTGGCTGTGGGATCGGGCTTAAATTAGCTCTCTGACATCCCTCGAGGGGTCCTGGATTGCAAAAGGGCACAGGCCAAGTCGAGGGACTGCACCAGTGCATTATCAGGTTCCTGGAGAGACTCAGGAAGTTGGCCAGCCAGAGACAGCCCACAGGAGGGCTCCAGGGCATGTCCAGCCCATCTCTCTCAGTTTCAATTGGTCGGACCCCAGCAGCAAACTCACCTACTGGTCAGAGCATATTCCTCCTAATGGTCAGTGCACATCATAGCTTTGGCAAAGGAAACCTGGGACTCCAAACAGGATGTATAAAATATGTTGCCTTTATAAAACATTTTAAAATATATTTTTATTGATTTCAGAGAAGAAGAGGAAGGGAGAGAAAGAGAAAAAAACAATGATGAGAGAATCATTGATTGGCTGCCTTCTGCACGCACTCTACTGAGGGTGATGTGTCATAAAGTAGAGTATAAACCACATGACTGCCTAATTTTATAAAGCGGGAGTGAAGAAGTCTTTGATTCAGTTTTGGAGATTCTGCAAATGGTGATATTTATTACTGTATTTATTACTAAAAAAGGGAGGTTTTCTCCCCATAGAATGTTTCTGAGCCATATTTAAATTCCTTAATATAGGTCTTTCTTGCCCTTTTTTAGAGACATAGGGCCAGGGAAGGGAGGAGGAAGGCTTAATCTCTTTAATTAAAAGAGGAAAAAAAGGCCTAGGTCTTTGCCACGTGAATACAGGCACAATTGGCTACTGTCACACCAAACCAGTTATCTGAAATTTGAGTTTTCCAACTGGTCTCTGAGTCTGTTGGCGTAATAGAGATAAATGAGAATGTTAGTGTTACAGGTCTGGGACCTCATAGCGAAATGGTCACCAGTAAAACTAAGTTGACATGGGAGTCTCAGTATCCTTTCTCAGCTCCAATTAACAAAATAACCGAGCTCCCAGATCCAAGTCCATTGGCTGCTCAAAATAGTGCAATACAGAATCACTGACCATGGGACCCGACACAGTGGAATGAGTCTGTCTCAAACTATTAGAGCCCCAGTTTCTCCATTTCAAGGGAAGTCCATAATACCTCTCCCCCTGGTCATTATGAGGGGTAATGAAAACACGCATGTATCTAGCACAAAATCTGGCTCTCTTTGTAGAGAATGAATGGTGGCAAGGCTATTTGACCAAGGGATACGGGAACACCTGTCTTCAACTGACTCTACACTCCATAGTGCAGGGGAAAATAACAAGATTGGGCAGGTGAACACGATTGTGTTTAGGTCATGGTTCCAAAACTCAGAGTGTTCCACTTGCTTTGATGAACCTAGAGAGACCACCTGGGGGCAGAAGAAGCAATGAACTAAGAACCCAGAGAGGCCTCCCTAGGCCTCTCTCAGGTTCTAATTGACTGTCAAAGGAATTAGAGACAATCGGACCCCGTCTAACTTCTATAGAGTATGGTCAAAACCAAAACTACAATCCCATAGAACACTGTAGCTGAATCAGCTTTTTTGGCCCAGCTCAACATGGGGCTGATGCCCTGTGGGGACAGGGTGGCGATGGAGGAAAGCCTAAGATTCCTGGCCAACACTAGTGTTGACTGTATTCTCTCTCCTCTCATCTGCTTCTGCAGACACATCTGGAAGACTCCCCTTTGTGGCTTACAATGTCCCTCCCCACCACAGGTTTGAGTTAGAGAAAGACTTAGTTAACATTTATGCCACTTTATTCACACTACTTCATTATAAAATACATGCATCTTGGCAATCTACAGAGTCACACAATTCACACAATCTACAGATATCCAATGGGTCACAGATTTCCAAGTCAGAATGATGCTTGTGTTGTCATTCCTTTTGGACCAGTGGATTTAAATCTTCTTCTGTCCAGTTTCCTCTTCAATCAGACTTTCCTGAAAGATATGTGAATAACAAATAGATTAGGGTTGCTTTTACTGGCTAAATTTTATTATGCATGCTTTGATACATTATTTCTAAATAATTAAAATAGAAATAAAAGATTCATTTGTTTTGTGCACTAAAAGTGCTAGATATACAATCATGTTTTTTAAAATTGTTTATAATAAAATCTACATCAATAATTTAAGGATAGGACATAAGGAAAACAGCAAAAGAAGGGTCTGAACTATCAGTTTGCTATTAACCAAACCTTTGCTTCAATTCCTTCTCCTAATGTCATGTTTGGGAAATTTTAGCGCTTGCTATAGTATAATATTTTTGTCGTGCAGGAAATAAAGATGCCTGCTTGCATTTTTCTTTTTCCTATGGGTATGGAAGTTCAAGTCAATGGAGAAAACCAAAACTATAGCTTAACTTTACATATGATCTACTCAGGCTTTCCCTGCTCCTGAGCACAACATCATTACCTGCCATGCCTCCTAACTGTATAAACAAGTGGACATGGGCTCAGAGAAAACCCACACGGACCTCAAGATTTCGTTCTATATTCAATTCACTTTGTATTTTTTTTTAAATCAAGTCTACATTGGGTTACTATCGATATATTTCCTTTTTCTTAAAGGCCAAGGATATGCCTAGTGGTTTTAGAGAGAAAGAGAAGGAGTGGGGGCGAAGGAGAGAGAGAGAGAGAGAGAGAGAGAGAGAGAGAGAGAGAGAGAGAGAGAGAGAGAGAGAGAGAGAGAGAGAGAGAAACATCCATGTGAAAGAGAACATAGATTGGTTGCCCTCCAGATGTGCCCCAACCCAACCAGGGATGAAACCCACAACCTAGGTATGTTGCCTGAGTAGGAATTGAACCAGCAACATCCTGGTACATTGAATGATGTTCAACCAGCTGAGCCACACCATCTGGGTGAGGGCACCATTTTTTATTTCTGCATTTTTCAGGGACCACAACGTCATACCAGGACAACTGAAAAATTGGTGAGAAGGATGGTTACCTAGAGAAGAGTCTGGGGTGTATATTTGAGGAATATGTGGACATATTGAAGGACTGACATGGAGCAGTGGGCAGAGATTTGTTTTGTCCATCATCCTAAAGGCTAAAGCCAACATTAGTAGATAAAGGTTATAGGGTGATTTCAACTCAATTTATGAAATAAAAAAAGAAAGAAAGAAAGAAAGAAAGAAAGAAAGAAAGAAAGAAAGAAAGAAAGAAAGAAAGAAAGAAAGGTCCCAGCCATTGTACTCTAACCACTGAAAGAGGGTGTCATGAGATAGTGAGGCAGTTAGGAAGGGAAGTTGCGAAGTGGCTGAAAAGTGGTTGCCCTAAGTGGACAACTGACAAGGTGGTACCTAGGGGCCAGTACATTTCTAAAGCTCCATGTTACCTTTTTATTTTTTAAACTATATATATTATTGATTTAACAGAGGAGAGGAGATGGAGAGGGAGAAGGTGAGATAGAAACATCAAAGATGAGAGAGAATCATTGATTGGCTGCCTCCTGCATTGCCCTCCATTGGGGACAGATCCCACAACTTGGCCATGTGCCCTTGACCAGAATCGAACTGGGGACCCTTCAGTCCACCGGCTGAAGCTCTGTCCACTGAGCCAAACCAGGGGGGCGCGCGTTATTTTTACTGTCACTCACCAGCGCTCCTTTCAGCTCCCTGAGGGCAGAAGGTGGCTGGTGAAGGGTGCATTCCAAGTGTTGAGGTTCTGCTAGCTGATCAACCTCTTTGGCTCTCTGAAGTAAAAGAATGTGATTCTTGGAGATGGAGATAGAGACATGAAACAGGATTTCCCCTTTCCACTAACAATCATCTCTAGAAAATGGGGTCAAGGTGGATGCGGGACTGAGAAAGGTGTGGGATTGGGATGGGGGCTTGAGGAACACACGTCTGCCAGGCGGTGGAGGTGCTGGAGAAGGCAGCAGAGAGACTTCCTCCCTGGAGATGTTGAGGATGAAGTACTTCTAACTCGGGTGAAGACAGTATACAAAATATGCCAGAGTTATAGTTATGAAGAGGGTTGATTTTTACTTTCTAATTTTTAGTAAGTATGTCATATAGTTAAATGAGAGTCGCTTCACATACAATCTGTGTAAAGGAAACTTCAAATTCTGGGGCTTCTATATTTCATACTAAATTATTATTATTCTTCAAAAAGATTTCTTTCCAGTGATTTTAAGTTCCTTGAGTTAAGCTTCCCATTTTCAGGCTTATATTAAGTATCTCAGCCTCGAATCAACATCCGTTAGGCCAAGTTTATTTCCCATTAATTAAAAAACAAATAATGGCAAGAAAAGTTTTTTATAGATCCATGACATTTTTTGGGTTAACCAGCTACATATTATGGCCCCTCTCATGGAATCCTCACATCCCAAGAAGTTGCATTTTATAAATTAAGGAAACCAAGCAAACCAAGTCCCTGTCAGTACTGAAATCTAATTTATATGAAATGAAAGCCAGCCTATTTTCCAGTATATGTTTTGTCTCCTTGAGCTTGCTAACTCCTCTGCTCTAGCAGCCTCTGGCTTCTATGCTTAAATACCAATATTAGTAAAAAGAAATTACAAAGCATGCATCATTGATAAAGATATGTATTTATAAGTTATAAAAATGTGCTGCTGACATATATTGTAGGTATTTTTAAAAGATAAGAAAAAAAAAACATAAGCAGAAATTCTAAGATTTTCTTTCTAACTCTCAAGGATTATCTTGCCCTAGAGACCCTGGCTCCATCCGTTGTTTCCAATTCCTTTGGCCATTCTGTGGGCTCTGAGCAGAATGAGCAGTTGCTGCTGTATTCTCTTGAGGTTGTTCCTTTTCTTTGCCTTGTTAGTCCTCATCTGAATTGAAAGCAGGGATAGACTTTACTGTGAATGTATCTTATCACCCCCGGATACCTAGGACGGAGTCTATGGCAATATTGTGGACACACCCACAATATGAGTATAGTTACTATGATTATTTGATTATTGAGCCAAATAAGCCATGTCTCCTTTGGAAGGTGAGAGAGACTTACCTCTTGAAATAAGTCAATCAAATTTCCTGCATTTCTTTTTCCTCCAGGGCGCAATCCATAGGACCAGTGCTGGCTGGAGCAGCTCACCACACACAATGTCAACAGAATAAGTCCAGCTAGAAGTTTTGGAATTGGCTCCATTCTAATAAACATCAGCGCAACAATCAGAATAGAGACAGACTGGGTTGAGCAAAAGCTAAAGACCTCTTTGGTGGAAAGCCTAACAGTTGTGTCACTATCCCAGTGGAAGATGGGGGTAGGAGTTGTCTACAATTTTCACACACAGGCACATACCCACTTGCATACCTTGAGTTTCCTAACCATTGGGGACAAATGCAGTTCTTTAAACTAAAACATTCTATTTTTATTTTATTATTTTGTTATCCAAACTCACGATTTCTCCCTTACGAAGTTCACCTTTTTGTGTTAACCTTCTCCCCTTTTGTCATTGATTTTCAACTGTGTCATTCCCAGGGTAAAGGAAATTGGGCCATCTACTCTGATAAGTAGCACCTACTGAAAATTTTTGGCTAAAAAGTATGTTTTTTGACGTTAAATGGCTACATTAGGTACTAATTACATCTTAAATATATATTTTTTATTGATTTTTTACAGAGAGGAAGAGAGAGGGATAGAGAATTAGAAACATCGATGAGAGAGAATCATCGATCAGCTGCCTCTTGCACACCCCATATTGGGGATGTGCCCGCAACCAAGGTGCATGCCCTTGACCAAAATCAAACCTGGGACCTTTCAGTCTGCAGGCCGACACTCTATCCACTGAGCCAAACCGGTTTCAGCAGGTACTAATTACATCTTGCTGACTATCTGTCCTCTAGTCTCCATGCATTGGTGTGGCTGGACTGTGAATGAGAGAAGACTCACTCAACACCTTTCAATGCACTGAGTCCCCTGGCCAGATGTTTCCCTGGCTAAAGTGGTCTCAAATGACCTAACGATATGTGGAATTTTCTCAAAAAATCTTCAAATTAATTTTCATTTGATGGGAAGAGGCTAACGACAAAATCAAATACTGGTCAATGAATGGTTATTACAACTCCCCAAAGGCTAGATCTTTGTGGTCAGGGTGACAATGGCCATTAAGGTCAAAGTTTCTTTAGACACCATCGGGTCACACCTGGACTTAGCCTGTAGGGTGTAAAAGCCCATAGACAAACGATAGCATGCAGTCTTTACAAAGTGCTAGAAATACTAAGCATTTTACCTGTCTGAGAGCAAAGAGCCAAAGAACGCTGCACTTCCTCTGCAGTGTGTTGAATGCTGTGCCTTTTCATTTTCCTAGCTTCATTTTTATATGAAACTTTTCCAGGACCCTGAAATCTCTCCTGCTGGTAAATTGTACTGCACTTGGACTATTTATTAATAGTATGTTTTTTAATCCTCACAGAAAGCCCTTTAATGGAGGGTGTAATTGGAACACCCACTGGTATATCTGTTAAATTTACTTAAATCTTGCCCATTAAAACCTCAGCAAAGACTTTCATAGCTAAGGCCACAATTCAAAGAGATTAAAACCTAGCCAGGATGGCTTTCCTTGAAGAAATTGACAGACCTATCAAAAGTTCAAGGACAACAGCTGTCTTAGAGTAAGTGATGTTGAATGCACACAAAGAAGGCCATGTAATAATTATAGAAAGAAGTTGACATAAAGGTGTCTGGGCGCTGGTCTCAGCACTTAGATCTGTAAAGGAATTGATTTATAAATAATAATAACTGTAGGCACTACAGCAAGCCCATGTAGAACCCTAAAGTATATTGTATGGGTTAGAAAATCCCCCAGACTCCCACACAACAGGCTTCCTCCTTGACTTGAAAGCCTTCTATAGCATAAAAAACGTAAGCAGAAACATTGCAGTTAGAATACATTAAGCGCAAGACCATCTAGAGAAGATTTAGCTCAACAGTTCGCCTCATTCCAGTAAATGCTTACATACCCAGTTAAAATATGCAAATCACCGTACTAAAAGCAGTGCGAGCACAAAGATGAGAAATAATAGTTTTCTGCTATAAGATCAAACTCTCATTATTAATAGTCCTGCAAAGTGGATACTATTATCCAAATTTTATAGATAGATGCTTCAACCTAGCAGTGAACCCTTGGATATGTTATTTACACAGTACAACTATTTAAAAGTCAGAGAACCATTGATCTTTATTACATTATTTGAGTACATAATTGTCTTTCTCTAATTTACCAGTGGGCTGTGACTCATGATAGTCAATGATCTCATCTTAAACATCTGTTAATAAATTCATAGTTAGCATCCAATAAATATCTATACTAATAAAAGGGTAATATGCTAATTAGGTTGGGAGACCAAACATCTTCCTACCATCCGACTTCCTTCCAGACAAAGACACAGTGATGAGAGCTGAAGCAGAGGCAGTTAGGGGTGATCAGGCCGGCAGGGGAGGGCAGTTGGGGGCCATCAGGCTGGGAGGGGAGTAGTTAGGTGGTGATCAAGCTGTTAGGCAGGCAACTGGTTAGTAGCCAGCGGTCCCAGTTTGCGAGGGGGATGTCCCAGATTGGAGAGGGTACAGGCTTGGCTGAGGGCCTCACCCCCACTGTGCATGAATTTTGTGTATGGGGCCTCTAGTTAGTATGAATAAATGAATGAAAGGCAAAGGTCTTTAACTAGATTATGCCCAATGCTTCCTCTATTTCTGCAACAAAGATATGTTTAATCTGACATAAAATTTTCATGCACGATTGAATGTAGGGACTGTTATGATACACTTAGAGGCCCGGTGCATGACATTCATGCACTGTGGGGAGGGGATTCTCAGCCCAGCCTATGCCCTCTTGCAGTCCGGGAGTCCTCGGGGGATGTCCGACTGCTGGTTTAGGGGAGAGGGCCTAAGCCGTCAGTTGGACATCCTTAGTGCTGCTGCGTAGGCCAGCTCCCGCCACCACCGCTGTGCTCACCAGCTGTGAGCCCGGCTTCTGGCTGACTGGTGCTCCCCCTGTGGGAGTGTCTGCCCTCTGGTGGTCATTGCATGTCATAGCAACCAGTTGTTCCATCATTTGGTCAATTTGCATATTAGTCAATATTATATAGGATAGTAAAATGGTTCAAAATAACTGAATATTTGGTCATTATAGAGCCAGGATTGGCAGCTTCTCCTTGGGTAGAAAGGTAATCAATCAGTTGTTGCCCACTGTCCTCTGGAACAATTATATTTGCAAGGATTTCAGAGAAAAGAGCAATGGTGTCCTGCCCAAATAAACTCCTCTGCTTTGCTCATCCATCTCTGGAGGCTGTCAGATCCTCAGGACAAGTTATAGAAGGGGATACATCTTAAAAGTATAGTTGCAAATGGAAACTCTAAAAATAAAATGTGATTAAATTATTTTTTTATACTCTGAATAATTTAAGGGCCATTCTGACATGAAGGAGTAGACTATCATCTCACCATAATAGAAAGGTGATGAGAAGCTACTTTCAATGACAGTTCATTATGTTTGAAAAGTGAGCAGTTGATTTCCTCTTTGCTGAAAGAGATGTGCTTCTTCTAATAGAGTTGCAGAATCAGATGTGTTCTTTGGTTAGCACTAAAGAGAAGGGAGTAAGGACTGCTGACTCTTGCTGTCAGATTGACCACTTAGCTTTGGTTAAGCATCACTGGATTTCTTATTTCTATCAGCTGAAATTACATTTTAAAAAAACATATTTTATTGATATTTTTACAGAGAGGAAAAGAGAGGGATAGAAGAGTTAGAAACATCGATGAGAGAGAAACATCCATCAGCTGCCTCTTGCACACCCCCTACTGGGGTTGTGCCCGCAACCAAGGTACATGCCCTTGGCCCGAATCGAACCTGGGACCTTTCAGTCCGCAGGCTGACGTTCTAACCACTGAGCCAAACCGGTTTCGGCTGAAGTGACATTCTTGAATAATGCTTTGAAAATTTTAGATGAAGATAGCCACATACTCTATGCATTCATTCAGTATGTTTTATGCACTTAGTCTGCATTAGTATTATTGTAGGTCACAGATACCAAGGGCAAAGGTCAGATTTGTTTACTCTTCTATAGCATCAAATAGGGCATCAAATATTCAATTAACAAAATCTTGATGTTTAGTGATAAACTCTGAACCTTTATGTAGTTCCAAGGACAGAACAATTTACCACGAAGCTAAATTTAGTCAATTGGGTTAAAATAATTGGATTTTAGAGTTACCATTTTTTCCCCTAAATTTAGAAATTTCCCGTTAAAGTGTGGCTTTGGAGGGAAAATGGCTTCATTATCTGCATTAAAAGAAACACTTTAAATTATTAATATGCAACAATAGTGATTTAGTAATCTTGTTGACTGACAGATGCAAACCTCTTTTTTTGTCCTAATGTGAAATCTCAGCAGGAAGAACTCCTGAACACCTGCTGACATATCTAAGGCTGTGAAAGGCCTTCAGAAAATTAATCCTTGAATAGGTGCTCGGTACGGAAAATAAAGTAACTGTTTTTCTTTGCAGAGGTGTACTTATCAATTTTAAACAGTTAAAAATAATACTTACTTGGCCAAAACTGGTTTGGCTCAGTGGATAGAGCGTCAGCCTGCGTACTGGAAGGTCCCAGGTTCGATTCCGGTCAAGGGCATGTACCTTGGTTGTGAGCACATCCCCAGTAGGGGGTGTGCAAGAGGCAGCTGATTGATGATTCTCTCTCATCAATGTTTCTAACTCTCTATCCCTCTCTCTTGTAAAAAATCAATAAAATATATTTAAAAAAATAATAATACTTCCTTGGAGATTTAATAACATTCTAGGGCTTTTCAAAAATTAAAGGTGTTTCAGTCTGGGCCGGGTGGCTCAAATGGTGGGAGCAATGTACTTTGCACCAAAAGTTGGAAGGTTCAAGTCCTGGTCAGAGCACATACCTGGTTTTCAGGATGTTTCTCTCTCTCTTTCTTCCTCTCTAAAATCAATAGAAACATAATCCTCGGTTGATCATTTTTTTAAAAGATAATTTAAAGTTGACTTGATTTATAGTATTAAATAGCCAATTCACAAATGAACAACTGGAGAAAACCTTCAAATATTGATTTGTGATGGTAATCTTAAGAAAATAAATTTACATTATTTCCTACTAAAATTTCTTTGAATCTATAGTTTTCCATTGATTTTTAAAGACTGTAGAAGTGGGTGGTCTAAATTATAGCATAACATAAAACAATGCTCTAAACAATTACACAGTAGAGTATAAATTTTATCCATGTAGATAATTTAGCTATAGAACACTTTTCTGTCCCTCCTTCCCAACAACAACTATATTTTTGCCCCTGTGTATGGACATGTTTCATCACTAGGCCTAATGAAAGTTTTACTATTTTGAAATTTTCCTTCCTCCTTAAAATTCTCTCAAGTGGTCAGGCAAGAATGTTTTGGATGGGGGCGGGCAATGTATTTAAACAACCTAATAGAGCCAATTGGTAATGTTCATCAGCCAAAAGTGACACAAATTAAATTAATTTTGGGAGGCAGTCTTTTCTTTTTTGAAATTTCTTCCTGTTGGTGGATTTTAAGGGGAGCATAAAATAATGCTTAAACATGTAAATTGACTTTAAACTAATAAATTTACTTTAATGGTCCTTCTACTTCTTTTGTTAATTTTCACTGGAGGATATTTTCCATTGATTTTTAGAGAGCGTGGAGGCAGGTGAGGAGGGGAGGGTGGGAGGAGAGAGAAACATTGATGTGACAGAGCCACATAGATTGGCCTATGCTCTAACCAGCCAGGGCCAATAAGTTAATGAGCTACCTGGTTGTGCTTCTCATCTACTGGTTAGAGGGTCATCCCAATAACTCAATGTTGGAGGTTTGATGCCCTCAGGGCACATACAAGAATAAATCAGTGAATGCATAAATAAGTGGAACAGATAGATGTTTCTCTTTCTCAAATCAACTTAAAAAAATTAAATAAATTAATTTAAAAAACCTAATCATAGTAAGTGTTATGCTGTATTTCTTTTTCCACCCAGACCCTCAGGGCTAGTCATCAATACATACTGAAGAAATATAAGCAAAAATTAGAAAGTATTGCTTTTCAAAAACCAGACAAACTCCTTTTCAACATTTCATATTGTTTATTAATGCAGTATACATTAGACCCGAACTCTGCAGTTTCTAAGACTATCATGTTTCATTTTTCAGATTCTTCTGCACTTTTAGGTTATGTCTACAGAGGTACCCCTTAAGTGATGAACCACACCTTCTGTAATTGTTGAAAATATACTACAGAGTGAAATGGTTTAAATATAATTTAGGCACATATTGATTATGAAAATAGATATCTCTCAATACAATAATTCTCTGTCTTGGTAAAAATAATAAAGCAAAGAAAATAATTCATTTCTGAAGTTGCTTTCCTTTACCTGTAAAGGCCTGATCTCCTCCCGCTATGCATATACCCTTCACTGTAAGGAAAGCTTTGCATATGTATATATAAAAGAATAAGCTATGTAAATATTCAAGACATGACATCCTCCCAAAGGATACAAAGTGGGTTTTAATAATTCATTGCCTCAACTGATGAGTCTGGAGAATTCAGAATCCTTTTGGATACAGCGCTATTCCTGCTCTGGAAGCAGAGATGTAAGGACACCATTTACTGGTGAGGAAGTACAGGCCCGTGTCTGCTGCTGCACAGAGATGATGACTCAAGAAAATGAGGCTAAAATTATTAAAACAAAACCAAACCAGAAAATTAAGTTAAAGAACCACAGGTGCTGACTGACTGGTATTACATTTTGGACCAGCCAAATGTTTTTATTTTTAGTTAAGTTTTTTTGGTGGCTATAACTGAACAGTCAGTTTAAAATCTCTCATTCTCCACTGTAGGGTTTCAGCTGCAATTCTATGGTGTAGCTACCTAAAAGATGACTTTGCAATACCCATTCATATTTTACAGCATTGATTACAGTGGATTGAGATTTAGTATCTAGTTCTAAGCTGGCCCTGATTAAACTATTTGGCCTCTGAATTAAATATTGGTAACACACCTTGGTTTTTTGGTTTTGAAGTATCTTCCTATGCTTATTTTGACTGTACAGGAGGAAACTAGGCTGGTAGTGTAAATAAAAAAATTGCCTGGTCTGCACTGAGTGGAACTTGCTTAGAATGAAATTCTGAAGAGTGCTCCTTTAAAAGCTGTTGTTACAGGTTGTTGCTAGAGTTCCACTGTAACTTCAGCTGACAATGATGTACAATGATGTCTTTCCTTCACCTCTTGCCTCAACCAGTAAGACTAGAGGATTTCTTTAATTCAGCTACTATTTTGTTCTAAAAAAAAACACCCATATATTAAAATGAACTTGAAAAGAGAGCCTTTGGCAGTCTGATCTCACCATATTCACGGTGTGACAAGAAAAGAGAGGCCCTAAAGCTTTTTATAACCCGAACACCCTCTTGAAATTTTCATCTAAGTTTAACAATTTAAATATCCATAAGCATCTAGAGACTCAATAAATACAATTTCATATGTTGTGCTTCTCATAAATGAAAATCCTCAAACGCATTTCAAACCAAGATGGTAATTCCACATCATGCCTATTGAAAGCAAATACGATAGATACCATTCCTGGTTATAAAGCCAGGTGAACCCTGACTCTACTCTAAAGGCAGCAATCTAATCTAGCTTCCCTACAGCTGGTAGATGAGTGCTTCTCTGTGAAAAGCGGACTGTGGGAAAAAGCCACTCTTCCTCTTGTGCACCACTGAGAACAAGCATAATCCTCTAAATGGTTCTGTCTTTTTCATTTCCTTACTGTGTTACTTCTTCTAGACAACTGAGTGGAGAAATAAAAGTGATAAGGAAAACATTTTCATTTTGAGCATGTTCCTCCAGCCCTAAATTCTCATCTGACGCTTTGTGACATGTGGAGTGGGGTCAGCATCTCTTCAAATATGGCTCCCTTCACGTTGGAGCCTCTCAGGTTGGCTTCCTGCAGGTCACACCCGGACAGGTCGCAGTTCTGAAGACAAAAACAATAACATGTAACTAATACGGAGATTTACGGTTTATCTGTTCCTTCTCAAAAATGATTCCTAGGCCAGTTAGGAAAAGGTTGCTATATAATAAAACTTGGTTATTTCTGGAAAATTTCGATTTTACAAGTCAGATTTTTTTATATTTCCATTTTTTTCTCTCTAGTTGATGCTCTGGCTGACTCCCTCCCAACACACACACACACACACACACACACACACACAGATGTTAACAAGGAAACATGTCCCTTGTAATCATGTATTTTATAATCAGTCATTTAAAATCACTTAAAATTCAAAGTGGACTCAAATGTAGTAAATATTATCTAAATAATTTAACCACAATCCAAGAACGACAACAATGAAAGCAGTGGGGGGAGAATTGAAATACTATTTGAAAAACCTGAGAGAAACAGATTTTACTTAATAATTAAATTCCATTCCTCAACCCTAACATTTTTATAGCAACGAACCACATTTTTTTTTAACCTCCAAATTATGTGCACAATTCAATTCGTGTTTTTTTTTTTTTTTAATATATTTTTTATTGATTTTTTTATAGAGAGGAAGGGAGAGGGATAGAAAGTTAGAAACATCGATGGGAGAGAAACATTGACCAGCTGCCTCCTGCACACCCTTTACTGGGTGTGCAACCCAGGTACACGCCCTTGATCGGAATCGAACCTGAGACCTTTCAGTCTGCAGGCCGATTCTCTATCCACTGAGCCAAACCGGTTTTGGCTCAATTCGTTTGAATGAACCTATATAATAGCATAACTACCACCATCATTGCAAACTACTTTTAAATTTCTCTTGAGATTGTAGTGTGACAGATGAGACAAGATTCTGAGTAAGTCCCTGGGGATGGTGGGGACCATAGCTAGAGAAGGGTGACAGCACAGAACCTTTTAGGGCAGAATGTCAGCTGCCCCCAAGAGTCAACCTCATTAATCTTTACAATCACACGGACAGAGGGAGGCTTTTGCTGTTTAACCATTGACTACGTAGCATCTAAAATCAAGGGGAAAAAAGTCATCACCTTAGGTGATGGCAACAAATAATAACAAATTAAGTAATGGTGCTTAACTAATTTATATCTTCAGCTGTAGGCTGCCACTTTTGCCTTTAAGTTTGTTTTTTAAAAATATATTTCATTGATTTATGAGAGAGAAATATCGACCAGCTACCTCTTGCACACCCTCTGCTGGGGACGTGCCTGCAACCAAGGTGCATGCCCTTGACCGGAATCAAACCTGGGATCCTTTTGAGTCCACAGGCCGACACTCCATCCACTGAGTCAAACCAGCTAGGGCTTGCCTTTAAGTTTAATAGGAACTGCTATTCTGCTGCTTTGAGCTATTAAGAGAACAGGGCAAAACATTTTAAAAAAAATGAACAGCAAATTTTGTTTTGTTCTCTACAATCCAGTCTATGCCAAATTTTTTGTATAAGGCTGTGCTGTTTAATATGATGGCACCAGCCAAATGTGCCCGTTTACATTTAAATGCATTAAAATTAAATAAACTTAAAAATTCATCTCTCACCTACACTACCCACATTTGCAGTGCTCAACAGCCATGTGAGCTGATGGCTACGGTGCTGAACAGACACAGAGCATGCCCAGCACTAAAGGAAGTGCTACTGGCCAGTGCCAAGGCAGGCCTATCCATAGCTACTGAGCCAGCTGGCAAAAATGGCAAATCAAGACAAAGCATAGAATACAGAGCTGATGAGAAAGCCGAATTAAAATCTCATCTTGAGAATTAAAAAGAATATGATGCCAATTTAGAATAGGCTTTCCTCAATCTGATTTCAAACCTGGATACCAGTTAAATTTCTCAAATAGTTCACGAAATAATCTGGCCCCATTTAATTGTTTGGAATTGAAACTGAAGAAAAATGATAAATTAGTTCAATAAAGCACCTATTAAACTTATAAATTAGTTCAATAAAGCATCTATTAAACTCAAGGAAAAGAGAGAAATAAAATGAACTTAGAATGTCAAATGAATTTTCCCATCTGAAACTGGCATCTCTTGACTTAGGAACTGATCCTGCTCTGGAATTCAGGCTTAACAAGCACTTGAAAGGAAAACATCCCTCCAGCTGTTCTGGCATGTCATCCGGAAGTTCTTATGAGCCAGTTAATTTATTGACTGATTGATGTTAGAGAGAGAGAGGAAGGAGGAGTGGAAGAGGGGGGAGAGAGAGAGGGAGGGAGGGAGAGAGAGAGAGAGAGAGAGAGAGAGAGAGAGAGAGAGAGAGAGAGAGAGAGAGAGAGATATTGATTTGTTGTCCCACTTATTCATGCATTCATTGGTTGATTCTTGTATGTGCCCTGGAACTCAAACCTGCAATCTTGGTGTATCAGATACTCTAACCATGTGGTCGGCAAACTGCGGCTTGGGAGCCACATGTGGCTCTTTGGCCCCTTGAGTGTGGCTCTTCCACAAAATACCACGGCCTGGGTGAGTCTATTTTGAAGAAGTGGCGTTAGAAGAAGCTTAAGTTTAAAAAATTTGACTCTCAAAAGAAATTTCAATCGTTGTACTGTTGATATTTGGCTCTGTTGACTAATGAGTTTGCCGACTACTGCTCTTACCAACTAAGGTACCCCACCAGGGCCATACAACTATTTTATGATTTCAATAAATTTTGTATGAGGTACTCAGTGATTTTAGATTAACAAAAACTTTTTTCCCCCAATCCTCACCTGAGGATATTCTTACTGATTTTTAGAGAGAGAGAAAGGGGGAAACAGAGAGAGAGAAACATCAGCATGAGAGAGGAATATCGATGGTTGTCTCCCTTAAGCGTCTGATTAGGAATGGAACCAACAGCCTAGGAATGTGGCATGTGCCATGACTGGGAATGGAATCTGCAACCTTTTAGTGTATGGGAGGAAGCTCCAGGCAACTGAGCTACGTGGCCAATGCCAACAGAAACTTTAAAAACTGGTGACTCACCTCCAAATCAGTTCCTGCCAGAGTTGCTCCTCTGAGGTTACAATTCTTCAACTTTGCATTTTTTAAGGTGGCGACTCTCAGGTTGATGCCCGTCATTTGACTTCCTTCCATATCCACACCTTTTAGATTAGCACCTTGAGTGAACATATTTGGGGATTAGTTGAACTTGAAAATATTTACTGTCACCTACTTTCAACAAAACCACTTTAAGACTTAAATGAAGAAGAATGATGACAGGGCCCTTTAACTTTTGAAAAGGATTCTGAACTATAAATCTCAGTGTCTCAATCTACTTACATCTATAGAGTTCACTGGTAATGATGTGTTAGCTCAGACTTAAGAATGTTTTAGTCTATATTTTTGAGGGAGTAATTCAATTCGGTCTTAGGATAATTAGCACTTATCCTCCATAAGTTTATGACAAGGGAGAAAAGTACTATAACATGCCTCCATAAGTTTATGACAAGGGAGAAAAGTACTATACCTTCGAAATACACAAGTAAACAAAAGTGACCAGTGTGCACAGATACAAGAGAGCAATAAGAAATTCATAAATAAAACATTACATTTAAAAATGACAAAAACTGCCTGGCTTTGTGCAAACTGAAATTCTTAATTTTGGTCAGCATAAGAATATGTGCTGTGTTTGGAAGTTTAAGATGCTGACATGTAATTCTCTGCCTGACGCCTCATTAAATGTCAGAGTCTGGATCTCTCCGAGTTCTCAATGTTGGGTAGCCTATGACTCAGACCAAGATATGACTGACCCCTGTGCAAATTCTCCAAGCATGGTGACAGAGGAAATCTACCCAGCTATGGTTATGATTTACCTGTAACTATTACTTTGCTGGGCTTTTTATTTAATGGTGTGTTTTCCCCATAGAAAAGGTAATTATAGACAGAATCTCACCTTCTAAATTAGCTTTAATACCAGAAGGATCTTCAAAATTACACAGTTTCAAGGATGCGCCTTCTGCATTAGAACAGAGCATCTTGACTCCCTGGAGATTTGCACACTGGCAAAGAAAAGATTAAGATTCAGAATTTTGTTTGGAAAAGAAAAAATTGGCTCAAATAGTTGTTAAACAAAAAATGTTTTGTTTTTGTTTTTTAATATATTTTATTGATTTTTTACAGAGAGGAAGGGAGAGAGACAGAGAGTTAGAAACATCTATGAGAGAGAATTATCGATCAGCTGCCTCCTGCACACCCTTTACTGGGGATGTGCCGGCAACCAAGGTACATGCCCTTGACCGGAATCGAACCTGGGATCCCTCAGTCCACAGGCCGATGCTCTATCCACTGAGCCAAACCTGTTTTGGAATCAAAAAATGTTTAACTTCCATGGCTGAAAAAGTCTATTTTATTATTATAATTTTTATAGATTTAGAGAGAGGGAGGAAAAAAAAAAAAAAAACAACCCAGACAAACACCAATGTGTAAATAAACAGGGGAGGCCTTGTGGTGCCTGGCTATTCTCTTTTGGAAAATCTCAGAAATAGCAGCTGGAAATTAATTCTAAATTCTAACAGATATACAGGAATGTAAACAGTCTTTCACCAGAGCTATTATATTAATAGCTATCAACAGGCTAACTGCTCTCTTTCTCTCACTCTCCAGCTACTATGATTTTAATTTAGAACGTTTCAGAATTTATATCTTGTCACAGTAAAAGAAAAAAAATAGAAAAATGGGAAGTAAAGCCTCACTTCCATATACTAACAATTATTTTCTGCTCACAATAAAGACTTTTCTAATTGAAATTAATACAAACTTAGAACTCTGTTAAAAAATAATTAACAGTTTAGATGAAGTTGGGGAGTAAGAACTCTGATACATTTGTTTCTATTTTTATACACAGCCCTGGGAATGACAAACGACAGTAGAAATGTGGATAAGGAAAGCATAAACTTGTTAGGGATATGCATTTTTCTATTTCTTTATTACAGTAGCAATTAATCAATGGGGGGAAAAGAGGGACACCTGTAATACTCTCCACAATAAAGATTTTTAAAAATAAAAATAACCTTAAATGTAAATGGGTTAAATGCTCTCATCAAAAGACATAGGACAGCTAAATGGATAAGAAAACATTACATATATAAATGTTGTCCAAAAGAGACCCACCTCAAAACAAAAGATTCACACAGACTGACAGTGAAGAGATGGACAAAACTATCCCATGCAGGTGGAAACAAACAAAAAAAAAAACCTGGGTTAACAATATTATATCTGACAAAATAGATTTCAAGACAAAGGTTATTAAAAAAACAAAGGTCACTACATAATGTACTAAAGAGACTGATCCATCAGGAGGACATAACACTGGTAAAAATAAATGCACCCAATATAGGAACACCTATTAGTAAATATAAAAAAACAACAACACCTGTTGGTGTATTATGAGGAAGAGAATGAAGGTAATGCAATCATAGTAGGGGAACTGAACAGTCCACTGTCAACATTGAATACATCATCCAAACAAAAAATAAACAAGGAAATAGCGACTGGAAATGATATACTAGATCATGTAGGACATTTCATCCCAAAGCTGTAGAATATACATTCTTCTCAAGTGCTCATGGAACATTATCAAAGATAGATCACATATTAGGACACACAATGAGTCTTAATAAATTCAAGAAGATTGAAATCACATCAAGCATTTTATCAGATCACAATGGTATGAAACTAGAAATCAACTACAATATAAACACTCAAAAATATTCAAACACATGGAGGCTAAATAGCATGTTATTAAACAAAGAATGGGTTACCAATGAGATCAAGAAAGAAAGAAAGAAACAAACAAACAAAAAAACTTCCTAGAAACAAATGAAAATGAGCACATAACAACCCAAAATCTATGGGATGCAGTAAAAGCAGTCCTGAGAAGGATGTTCACAGCATTACAGGCCTACCTTAAGAAGCAAGAAAAATTTCAAACTATTTAATCCTGCACCTAAAATATCATAACTAGAAAAAGAATAACCAAGCCTAGAGTAAATAGAAGAAAATAATCAAGATCAAAGCAGAAATAAATGACATAGAGACAAACAAACAAACAGAAAGAATGAAAGATCTATGAAACCAAGAACTAGTTTTTTGAAAAGATAAACAAGATTGATAAACCTGCCCTAGCCAGTTGGCTTAGTGCATAGAGTGCCAGCCTGGGACCAAAGAGTCCTGGGTTTGATTTCGGTCAAAGCACTTACCTCAGTTGCAGGATACTCCCTGGCCTGGGCCCTGGTCAGGGTATGTGCCAGAGGCAACCAATGTGTTTCTCTCACATTGATATTTCTCTCTGTCTTTCTCCTTTCTCTTCCACTCTCTCTCTAAGAAATCAATGGAAAAATATCTTTGGGTGAGGATTAAAAAAAGAAAAAGATTGATGAACCTTTAGCCAGACTCATGAAACGGAGAAGGAACAAAGAAGACAGAAAAAGGAAAAGTAACAACTAACATCACAGAAATACAAAGGATAGGAAGAAAATACTATGAACAAACAGAATATGTGAACAAATTGGATAACCTGGGTGAAACAGACAAATTCCCAGAAACATATAATCTTCCAAAACTCAATCAGGAAGAATCAGAAAACACTGTATAGGCTGGTAACAACTAATAAAATCGAAGTAGTAATTGAAAAAACTCCCAGCAAATAAAAGCCCTGAACCAGATGGCTTCACAGGCAAATTTTACCCAACATTCAAAGAAAAACCAACACCTACCCTTCTCAAGCTATTCTAAAAAATTCAAGCGAAGGGAAAACTTCCAAACTCTTTTCATGAGGCCAGCATTACTATAATTCCAAAGTCAGATAAAGACACTACAAAGAAAGAAAATTATAGGCCAATATCCCTGATAAGCGAAGATCCTCAACAAAATATTAGCAAATCAAATTCAGCAATACATTATAAAGATCACATACCATGACCAGGCGGGTTTTATTCTGGAATAAAAAGGTTGGTACAATATTCACAAATCAATAAATGTGATACATAACAAACAAAATGAATGATAAAAATCACATAATTATATTAATAAATGCAGAAAATGCATTAAATAAAATTCAGTACCCATATATGATAAAAACTCTCAACAAGGTGGGAAGAGAGGGATCATACCTCAAAGTAAGAAAGGCCACCTATGACAAATCTACAGCTAAAATCAGACTCAATGGAAAAAAACTAAAAGCGCTTCCCTTAATATCAGGAACAATACAGGGAGGTCCCCTTTCACAACTCCTGTTCAACATAGTAGTCACAGTGATCAGACATGAGGAAAAATAAAAGGTATTCAAATTGGAAAGGAAGAAATAAAGCTCCCCTTATTCGCAGATGACATGGTATTATACATAGAAAACCCTAAAGACTTCACACCAAAAAACTACTAGATTTAACATATGAATTCGGCAATGTAGCAGATTACAAAATTAATACCCAGAAATCTATGGCATTTTTTGTATACCAACACTGAGTTCTCAAAAAGAGAAACTACACAAAAAATCCTATTTACCATTGCAACAACAACAACAAAAAAATTAAGATAAGTAGGAATAAACTTAACCAAGGAGGTAAAAGAATTGAACTCAGAAAACTACAGGACATTAAAAAAAGAGATAGAGGAAGATATAAACAAGAGGGAGACTATATTGTGGTTCACGGGTTGAAAAATTAACATCATGCTTTTGAGTCTACTTCCAAAATTATAAAATTTGAGAAACATTTATTCAATGACTACTAAAAGCAAGTACTATATTAGGTGCTGTTAATTCAAAAGATATAGATATGCAGACATGGGACTTGGTATTAAGAAACAAAGCTAGAAGTTAGTAAATTTCACTGTTGGTTCTACATGTATCATCTAATCTCAAATTAACACAGATATTTTTTCTATACATACATGCATATACATATGTGCACACACAAATCTACATGTACCTACATGTAAACACATATACAAATAGATGTAAAGAGAAAGAGAGAGCCAAAGTTAGAAAACCAACCCATTTTACTTTCAAAACCTTCAGTTTTATCAGTGTTTAAATAAATGCTTCAGTAAGAGAAAGATGTAATTTCTGCTCTTTGAGAATGCTCAATAGACTAACAATTTAATTTTCTCTTGTAACCAAAAATGATTCTTACGTCAAGCACTGATCCAGAGAGATCAGCTCGTTCAAGATTTGCACAGCAGAGATTGGCATGTGCAAGATTGCAGCGGCTTAAATTGGCCATCTTGAAGTTAATGTATCGAAGGTCCAAACGAGAAAGATCAGCACCACTAAAGTTTAAACCCTGAAATTAAAAACACAAATTGTCACCATATTTCACCTATTTGTTACATTAAATTTAATTATTCTACCTAACCACCAAGTTTTTTAGAAGCAATTGGTGGTTCAGTAATTTGGAATTTATTACAAAACATGATCAGATGGAACTTAGATGTACAAAATCAGTGTCCTGACTGGGTTCTAGTAAAAGAAACTGTTTGCAATTAACATTAGAACGCAGCCTGGCTATACCACATTTATGGGAAGAATTTTCTAAAGAGAGATCTCTGTTAGCCACATTCCTGCTGACTACTATTATTTTTTGTTAAACCTAATTATATTTACACTAGAGGCCTGGTGCACGGATTCATGCACTGGTGGGATCCCTCAACCTGGCCTGCGCTCTCTAGCAACCTGGGACCCTTAGGGGATGTTGGACTGTTGGTTTCTGCCTGGCCTGCAGGGATCGGGCAGCACCAGGCAGTCTGACATCCCCTAAGAGATGTAGTAGTGCATGAAGCGGCAGGTGGCGGGGCGGAGCCTGAGCCTGGGCTGGGGGCTGTACCACTCCCGCTCATCCCGGCCCGCTGAGCCAGCTGCCACTGTTGGGTAGTGCTGCCGTGGAGAGGGAGAGGCTCGCGCCCCTGCAGCAGTGCTTGCCAGCCATGAGCCCAGTGTCTGGTGCCTGTCGGTCAGTTAAGCATTGCTCCCACTGTGGGAGCCTATTACCACCAGAGGGTAGCTCCTGCGCTTAGCATCATAGTGACCGTCAAAGGTCGCTTAGGGTTTATACATATGAATAATTTTTTAATTAAACAAGATAGCTTCTTTTTGAAAAGCAAATATTGCGGTTTTAAAAACTTTAATGCTATAAACATAAACATAAAAGTATCGGCCACTGCCAAAACCGGTTTGGCTCAGTGGATAGAGCGTCAGCCTGCGGACTCAAGAGTCCCAGGTTAGATTCTGGTCAAGGGTATGTATCTTGGTTGCGGGCACATCCCCAGTAGGGGGTGTGCAAAAGGCAGCTGATCGATGATTCTCTCATCGATGTTTCTAACTCTCTATCCCTCTCTCTTCCTCTGTATAAAAAAATCAATAAAATATATATATTTTTTAAAAGTATCTGCCACTGACTAGTCATGCACAACTGTACAAACAATTGATGTTTTATTTTATTTTATTTATTTATTTTTTAAAATATATTTTATTGATTTTACATTGAGAGGGACAGAGAGTTAGAAACGTCGATGAGAGAGAAACATCAACTAGCTGCCTCTTGCTCACCCCCCGACAGGGGATGTGCCCGCAACCAAGGTACATGCCCTTGACCGGAATCGAACCCGGGACCTTTCAGTCCGCAGGCTGACGCTCTATCCACTGAGCCAAACCGGTCCCGGCTGATGTTTTATTTTAATTGCTGATTTCAGTGCACTACTCAAAGACTTCTATGTGAGGTATAACTTGAATAATTGGACAATAAAAAAAGCTATTACATATCTCTTTTTTTGCTAACCATTTTGGGATTACATCAGTGCTATGCTATTAGATTATATCTTGCATTAAAAAAGAAAATGAAGCAGAAATAAAAAAATTCTACAAGAACATAAAACATTACTCACAGATTTGCTGACATAACTCATTTAAATGTCTGTTTTAATTACCTGGCAACGCAATTCTGATTTGGTTGGAGTGGCTAGGAGAAATCGGACAAATTCCTTTCGAGATATTGGTGAATGATCCTCTGGTGGTTGAGAATTCTTGAAAAGAGATATTAAGAAATTAGTGGAGCATTTTGGGAGATAGCTACAACAAATGTAATATTGGCTAGTGTAGAAAGAACCTTACCTTTATTGCCACTTCTAAGTGTTCAATCAGTGAGTCAATACCAAAAAATCTGGCTTCTTCCAACACTCCTATCATAATAAAAAGGATGTGACTGTTACAGAAAACTTCATTTTAATATTTATATAATTCTTTATGTTAAATTCTCACAAAAGAAGTGAAATTCAATAAGTAGATTTTCAATCAATATTGAAGAAAAATAACTCTTGTTTAGAACATAATAGGATATTTTAAAATATTTGTAAAACAAAGTAGGTAATTTACATTTATCAAAAGAAAAAATGTGAAAAACAAATGAAACAGAAAAGGCTTCCATATTTCAAAATTATTTCTAAAAATTACTATAAAGAAGCCATAAGCAAAAAATATTAACACCCCATATTCCTCAAATAATTGATATAGTGGTTTGATTGTGAATCCAATAAAAAATAGTTTACCTAACCTTAACATTTCACTGACCTTTCCAGTGGAACAAATCTAAATCGGTATGTCCCAAATATCTTAAGACTTACTGAATTAGGAAATTATAGAAATGAATAAAAGTAAATTTCAAAGCAGAAGTCAAAAGTATAATTTAGAAACCTTTTATATATGTGTGTATATATATATTTTATTGATTTTTTACAGAGACGAAGGGAGAGGGATAGAGAGTTACAAGCATCGATGATAGAGATACATCAATCAGCTGCCTCCTGCACACTCCCTACTGGTTATGTGCCTGCAACCAAGGTACATGCCCTTGACCGGAAATGAACCTGAGACCCTTTAGTCCACAGGCCAACACTCTATCCACTGAGCCAAATGAATTGTGGTGAAATCCTTTTTTTATAAAAGAATCAATTTAAAAAAAGACTTCTAAAAGATAAAAGGGATTTTAATCTATCATTTACTTTTCTTATTTTGGTAAAGAAAATCTGTGGATTGTCCTGGTGACTTATTACATATATTTTCTCACATCTGTCAATAAAACTTTTCATCAGAGTATCCTATATAATAAAACCCTAATATGCTAAGTGTCTGGTTGTCCATTCAACCAATCAAAGTGTAATATGCTAATGATATGCTAAGGCTGCTCAACCGCTCGCTATAATGTGCACTGACCACCAGGGGGCAGACGCTTTAACTGGTAGGTTAGCTTGCTGCTGGGGTCCGGCCTATCAGGACTGAGCAAGTGGGTTGGACATGCCCTGGAGCCCTCCCGTAGCCCCCGCCCTGGCTGGCCAACCTCCCTCGTCTCTCCCTGGCCCCGATGGTACAATGGTGGGGTCCCTCGGCCTGGCCAGCGTCCTCTCACAATACAGGCTGAGGGACCCCGCCTTGAGCGTACGAATTTCGTGCACCAGGCTTCTAGTCTATAATAATAAAAGTGTAATATGCAAATCAAACGGCAGTCCAGACGACCTTCCAGATGACTTTCTGGACAAAGCGAAGGTCGCTGCCACAGCTGCAAGGGATGGAGGCAGCTGTGATGGAGGGATTGAGGCAGCCACCGCAGCTGCAAAGGCCTACTCTGACACAAATTTTGTGTATCCAGTCCCTAGTGTAGAAATAAATCGGGGTCTCTTTTCTTTAAAATGAATACTTCAGTAGCCTGAGTTTACTTTTTTTAAAAGGACTGAAGAATTACAAAGTTAGTAAGAGGTGTAATCTCTCCCTTCAAATGTTTCCAAGATAAGGGTAACTACAATTAGATATAGAAAACGACAGCAGTTATCTGGGAAAAACATTACAATCTTTTTGGGTAAATACAATGCCACCTCCAATATTCCAGCTGCAAAACAAAGGCCATCTAAGGACCAGCACACCACTCAGGGAGCTGCTCTGGGAGAACATCTTCTGTCCACACCGGAGTGGCTTCCTCTCTGGATTCCTCAGGAAGGGACAGTCATAGTTCAGTATCTGTCCCTGGTAGAAACCCAGCAAAATGAGACTCTAGGGGCCTCACTCTCAGTTTGACAAGTTTTTATGAGTAAATCAGAACCTCCCAGGGAGTGTGTTAAGAATGTTTGTCCAATTCTAGGCTCAAAACTAAACCTTAAAAACTTCCAGAAAAGCCTTATAAATACAACTGTCCCTGAGGGACAGTTTAGTAAAGAATGTGATATTTAGTGTATTTTCTGTTAGCACCAGTAAGATCTGGATTTGATCCCAGCTCGGATTTTGACTTGAAGAAGCTACAATCTTTCTCTTAACCAACGCCTCCACATTTATGAAATGTATTATTATCATGAAAACAAAGTTGTCAGAAATATTAAAAGAGATAATGCATATTTGTTATCTGGTATAATACTTGGCACCTACGTGGTAGGTCCTCCATAAATCATTAATATTAAATTATATATTTTAAATTATTATTAAGTTACAGGTTTTATAATTTTTTTTCCCTGTATCAAACTAGGTTTCAGAAAATTCAGCTTAGCTTCAGGGAAATAGGTACTGAAATACTAGAAAAGTTCTCAAATTAGTGGACTAATTGAATTGAGGTGAGATTTAGCTAAAAAAGTATAGAAAAGATTACTTAAGTCAGGGAAAGAATGTTGGCAGATGCCCTTGTCCTTTTTCCAGCCCGCCCCCACACAGCTGTGGTTGCAGCGTCAAAGTGTAGAGGCCTCCACGTGACTGAATTTGGTCTGGCTTAAGGAGTGGTGGGGAACGTGGTGATCTGGAGTGTATCTGCCCAATTATTGCCGTGTGTGGGCCTAGGGTGCCAGAGACTCCTCCATCTTGACTGGAAGTTTCAATCAGTGTTATTTTTAACACTCAAAGGGGACTCAGAAGACTTTCCACAAGACTATCTACCTGTGCCTATAACTATTTCTATACCAATATATCAGCAATTTTCAATCCGTGTGCTGCCTCATACAGGTGTCCCACAAGAGGCACACTGGTATGCTGCTAGAATTTTAAAACATGCACTGCCTGACTTCTTTTCTCTTAGACTGTCAAATAAAAAAAAAAAAAATGACATCAGCCAACACAACAATAGCCAACAGGTGTGAATAAATAAAAATTATACCTACTTTTTTTTAGATTGACAAAAAATATTTTATTTGGTGAGCTGCAGAATTTTAGTACTTTGTTTATGTGTATCATGAGATGAAAAGGTTGAAAATTGCTGCTATATACACTCATATACAGTTGACCTTTGAATAGGGATTAAGGGTATCAACTCCCACACAGTCAAAAATATGCATATAATTTTTTAATCCCCCAAAAGTTCAGTTGTTTTTTATATCTGTGGGAAACTGGTTTTAGGACTCCAACAAATACCCAAATCTATTGATGCTCAAGTCCCTTATAAAAAATGGTATAGAACAATACATCCAGTTGGCCCTCTGCATCTGGATATTCTCAACTGTACATTGAAAATATTATTGATGCCCTGACCAGTTTGCTCAGCACACCAAACGATGATGGGTTTGATTCCCAATCAAGGGCATGTACCTGGATTGTGGGTTCATTCCCCAGTCCATCTGAGGTGTGGACTAGAGGAAACCAACTGATGTTTCTCTCACATTGATGTTTTTCTCTCTCTCTCTTTTTTTTCTTCTCTCCCTTTCTACTCTCTCCCTCCCATTCTATCTAAAAGCAATGGGAAAAATATCCTCAGATGAGGTTTAGAAAAAAAATGTTGATGTAAAACCTGCAGACAGGGAGGGCCAACTGTATGCTATTTATTAAAAAAAAAAAAAAAATCCATGTGTAAGAGGACTGGGTGGTTCAAACGCATGTTATTTAAGGGTCAACTGTACAAGTAAAACATTTAGATATACCTTCAACTTTATGAAAATATACTAACTTTTAAAAAAAATATATTTTATTGATTTTATTCAGAGAGGAAGAGAGAGGGATAGAGAGTTAGAAACATCAATGAGAATCATCGATCAGCTGCCTCTTGCACACCCCCTACTGGGGATGTGCCCACAACCAAGTTACATGCCCTTGACCGGAATCAAACCCAGGACCCTTCAGTTCCCAAGCTGACGCTCTATCCATTGAGCCAAACCGGTCTCGGCTGAAAATATACTAACTTACTAAGCAAGTGAAAACAATAAAGATTATAAACTTACAAAAGCGTGAAGCATTATAATAAAAACTCACCCAGTAAATTAATGCCATCATTTACAATGAGTTGTCCATGACGCAAGTAGTTCAAAATAGGTTCAAAGTACTCAGGACTTCGGTCAATTAAGAAAGCTCCTCTACGATCTTGCTTATTACCCCAGACACCTGTGTCACCATTAAAATGAAGTCCCCATAATGAAAAAAAAGTTAGAAATTTGTGGAAGAAAAATTGTGGAACATAACAGTAAGTTTTTTTCTCCTGTAAAAATAATGCTATGATTAAAAAATAAAAGACAAAAGATATACAGCCAATACAAAGAGATCACACAAAATGGAAAAATCCTATGTTGCACTCACCTTTGTCCTTAAACATGTGGGCCAGCATACTGTCGGGTTCTTTGTTCACTAAAGTGCTCCTAAGAATTCAGGGAAAAAAATTGATTTCTCCATTTGTCTTTATAAACAAAAATATTTAATTCAAGAGTACACTCGATCCCAGCTGTTCTCTCAAAAAGATGCATGCTATCACCTGGTAGGAGCGATGCTGGGGAACAAAAACGTGCGGTAAGTTGCCATTTATCAAAATCTCTTCTACTCTGGCACTTCCTTTGCTTTAGTTCCCTTTTTAAAAACCACACGGTTCTATCTGTCTTGCAAGCTATTATATCACAATATTCTTGACCTAAACTTATTTTTCCTATACCTTTAATATAAGCAGTTGTAGTCTCTATGAATTTTAATATTGTTAATTTTTACTTGCATTGCATAAGTATTACTGAATATCTAAAAAGCATGTTCCATAATACTAACTCATGCTTTCTCAGGAATGATCTCTGAATCATTTTTCTTCTCTTTTCTTTAAAATAAACTTTCTAAAAAATAGTTTGCAATATATTTAAGCAGCATTTCAATATCTTCTAGGGAAATCAGTAAATTGAAGAACAAATGATACATAGGACCCCCGACACACAGCTACACACATGCACACGCACCTACCGTGTGGTTGTAAAGTACCGCCCTCCAACATTTAATGTAAGCCAGTCTGTGTGAGATCCTGACAACCCTTCAGGCAGTTTAGGATCTGTCTGAGGATCTAGAGAGAACAAGTAGAAAATAATAAATTTAATTGGTTTTGGGGGAGATGGCAATAGCATGATTTTTAAAACTAAAAACACACATAAAAGTGTACCAGAGTTACCAGGACAACAAAACCCATACTCATAGACAACATCTAAACCAATCGAGATGGTAAGGTATTCCCATCAGCACGGACAGGAAGAGAGCAGCATGGCATTAGCATCCGTGCAGGAAGAAGCTGAGAGAAACAACAGAGTACTGGATGAACCTAAGAATCCAAAGGAATCCTCAAATATTCACTTCAAAGCTTAGCAAGTCCATTTGAGAAATACAGACTGAAAATGGGAGGGGTATGCCTCCTGCCATCAGTGATATAAGTAGTTTGCAGAAAGATCTGAAGAGGCTGGAAATGAACTCTCAGAACCCACTGGCCAAAACTTCCTTTCAGGACAAAGTCTCAAACTGCAGATAAGATGTTGGGAAAAGAATCCAAGTAGAATGGAATAGAGACCAAGGAGAAAACAAACAAACAAACAAACAAATAAACAAACCCCAAAACGTATTACAGATAAAAGTGATAAAGGTTCTACATTCTAAAGAACCAGAACATATCAGAAGGTGAGTTTCATTTTTTAAAACACTTCACAAAAAAATACAGAAAAGGGAACTTTAGAGCCATGAAATGAGAAAAAATTTCCTAAGTCAGCCCTCCCTTCACAAGTTAAAGAAAACTAACTTCACATAAAATTGAGCAACAAAAAGGACTGAGATAAAAATTCCATATAAAATTTTTAAGAGAATAAGAAAGTGCCAGAAAGAAATGCCTACAAAATAGATTAAAAACTATAACCTAATATTCCAAAACATGCTAAAGAAGTGAATAGAAGATATAAAAGAATAACATAAACCAGAATAATAAAATTCAGAAATGAAGTAAGAGAACTCAAAAGATAATTGAAAAAAAAAATTTTGGAAAGGAAGATTAAACCAGAACAAATACAGGAGTCAATAAACACAAAAGACAATGTCTTACGGGAAATAAAAAAAGCAAAAGGGAAAAGCTTTAAAAATAAATGAAAAGGATTTAATAGAAAATTTCAAATATATTAGGTAAAAGATCCAACGTACATACAATAGGAGTCCTAGAAGATTAGGCAGGGAACAAAATAAATATGTAATATAAACTTCAAGAAAACTTTTATGAAATGAAAAAGATTTGAAATTACATATTAAAAGGGCTCACCATGTATCTAAAAGAAACAATTCAGAACAACTCAGAACATCCACAAAAAGTTTACTATAATCACTGTATTTTAAAGGAAGAGACTGAACATTCAAGTGACTCAGGAAAAATAATCACTTATGAAAGACCAGATATTTTTTGACACAAATATTTTAAGCCAGAATAAAGTGGAGTAACATATTTCAGATATTTAAAGTAAGAAAATGTGTGGACTAAGTATTTTTTAACTGCTTCACTGAGTCATAATTGATATACAATAAACTACACATTACTAAAATTTACAATTTAAGTTTTTACATATGATATTATATTCAGTCAAACTAACTTTAAACATTTTATTTATTTATTGACTTTTAGAGAGAAATAGAAAGGGGGAGAGAGAAACAAAAACATTAATTTGTTGTACCATTTATTTATGCATTCATTGGTTGATTCTTTTTTTTAAAAAATATATTTTATTGATTTTTTTTACAGAGAGGAAGGGAGAGAGATAGAGAGCTAGAAACGTCGATGAGAGAGAAACATCGACCAGCTGCCTCTTGCACACCCCTTACCGGGGATGTGCCCGCAACCAATGCACATGCCCCTGACCAGAATCGAACCTGGGACCTTTCAGTCTGCAGACCGATGCTCTACCACTGAGCCAAACCGATTTTGGCTATTGGTTGATTCTTGTATGCACCTGACAGGGGATTGAATCTGCAACCTTGGTGTATCAGGATGACACTATAACCAACTGAGTTACTGGCCAGGGCCCATCTGACTTGAAAGTGTAAAAACCAAAATACTTATTATCATACAAGATGTCATAGAACATTGTTCTCACAACTTGTTTGTAAGGAATTTACTGAAGAACAAGTTTCAGACAACCTTTGGAGGTATGAACATAAGGAATGGAGGTAAAAATTAAATACACATGAGGAGTAAAACTAAGAGATGGTTTGAAAGAAGAGCATATAGTATATAGTAGATATATATTTTGACAATGTAGAAAAAATACAATTATTTTTTAAGTAAGAGGAATGAAGATATGCAAAAAATGTTTAACTGTCTTTAGCATTCATACTGGTAATGAAAGTATTGAGATTTTTACTGACACATTTATGTGTTTTATGTGGGATGAAGTAAATGAGTAATTATGTGACATTATTATTCTATCATTTCCAATGTCCCTGAAAAATCAAGATTATTGATATGATAGAAAGGAGATATAAGATAGAAGTTAAATAAAAATCTTATTTTCCTGATTATAAATTGTAAGTATTACCATGAGATAACCTCTCTATAAAGGTACTTTATATTACATATAAATTTTATCTCTGGCTAGCTATGTATTTCCAACTCTGTCTACCAAAAACCCTAGTAACAAAGGTAAACCCAATAACAATGAGCCTCTCTACCACTCAGACTGTGTCTTGAGATACTTCTCACTAAAAGAAATCAAGGCCCTAGCTGGTTTGGCGTGGTGGATAGAGTGCTGGCCTGTGGACTGAAGGGTCCCTGGTTTGATTCTGGTCAATGGTATATGCCAGGTTGCAGGCTCCATCCCCATTAAGGGGCATGCAAGAGGCAGTCCGTCAATGATTTCCTCTCATTGATGTTTCTATGTCTCTCTCCCTCTGCTCTGAAATCAATATAAATATCTATATATCTATCTCTCTCTCTATATATATATATATAAAAAGCTAATATGCAAAGTGCCTTCTTGGGAGTTCAATCACTCGCTATGATGTGCACTGACCACCAGGGTGTGGCACGGAACATGGTAGGTGACCAGTGGTGGGAGTAGGGCACTGAGGAAGTGAGGGAAGAAGGAAGCAGGGAGGCGGGGTGAAGGGTGGGGAAAGGACCATGTGGTGGCAGTGCACAGGAGGCAAGGAAAGGAGGAGGCAGGGAGGCAGGGAACATGATTGGCCCTAATTGTGGGCCAATCCTAGGAACTCTACCTGTGCACAAATTTCATGCACCAGGTCTTTAGTATTAAAAAGAAAAGAAAAGAAATCAAGGCTTCTTAGAAAAAATATTGATCAGGATCTAGGACAAGAGAAGTATAAGATGAACACCTTGTTATTCCAGATAGTAAGGAAGCTATAAAAGATTAATGAGGTTGCATTAAAAGATTTGAAGAGGTTTCCACTGGCCCAAAGTAGGATAATACAGATATCAATTAATGCAGAGGATGAAAATAAAGATACTAAATATTTTTAAATCCAAAGATTCATAAGGATGAAATAATAATAAATACTAATCGATCACTTTTTTATTTTGTTTGTATGTAAGCGATGAACCAATTATATGACCACTGCCTGCCAATCACTCTGTTAGGCTAATGGATAATAGAAGATCAAAAAAATTTTTTTGCGGCCAAGTGGAGATGGAGAAGAGTATGCACTTACTTCTAAGTGGACAACTACTAGTGCGATGATCTTGAGATCTACCTCCACTCACCAAGTACAGTTACTGTGATGGCTTAAAAAACATTCTTAAATTTTCAGAGTTTGATTGAGGGGAACAAAATATATCAACTACTTGCTAAGAATATTTACTGTATTTAAGCCTAATACAACTGTAGACACTTTCTTCTGAATCAAAGGGCAGTGTGTATGTGTGCAAGTGTGTGTGTTTGACACCAAGTAATTTTGACTAATCTGATTTGACCACTATGAAGGATTGTCAAACATTACTTATGCAGCAATAAATGCTTAAAAATATGTAATATAATACTTATAGAAATTGTCAGAACTAATATGAAAGAGAAAATTTCAAAACAATTATAATTTCTAAAATCAAGTCATATTTAATGAATGTGTACACATCCAGAACATGTTAAAGGCATGTAATAGATAAGGTACCTATACTAAATATGATCATACAATTCAAATTAAACATTAACTTAGCACACACATCCAATGCAGAATCAAAACAGGTATGAAGATTTGAATCCTACCACAAAATATTTTTTAGCATTAAGCCATGTAAAACATGTAATTTCTTTTTTTTATTTTGGCAGACAAAATTGGCTTTTAAGGAATTCACTTACCAATGAATGGCTCTCCTTCACACACAAACAAAACATCATCATCCCTGAGGGAAATAAAAATTTTAAAAAGTACCATCAAAATCTAGAAATCACATGAATTATCTGTTTAATACAGGAACTGCTCCTTAGAATTATGTAGAAGACAGGTTTGCAAAATGGACTACGTAAATTTCCAGTGCTTTCTTTGCTAAACACCCACTACATATACACTTAACTATCCTTGATTTAAATTCAAGTAAGATCCAGCACATGAAATTACTTTTGAAATGGAAAACAAGTCAACAAAACAATACCCGCTATACAGATTATTAAAATTAAGCTTTCTTATCTATTGAAGAATGTACTGTTATGTTCAAAGGATATGATTAAAGCCTAGCCAATTCTTCTTTTTTTATTTTAATTCTGTAATCCTAAATAATTTACTGGGGTTTTCTCACACATCATCGGCTGCTTTGTGCTTTGGAAAGGAAAATAAATTTATGTACTAAATTTAGGAAGAATATATGAAAGTAACTGCTGAAAACACTCATCTAATATACACAACCCCCAACCCCCAATGTAAATGACTCACATAATCCGAAGTCCTGGATTGTCAGTGACATCCTCCTCTCTGCCCCAACCCACCCCACCATCACTACAAATAAGTTACCAGATTGTTCTGTGACCCACAGATTATTAAACAGGTATATATTTTATAGTTTGGAAGGCTTATGACCATCTATGTTGGAGAAATTTTTATTTCCTATAAAAGATCACAAAAACATACTGAATTTTTCTTATAATGAAGTCTTTTTAAGAAATCATTCAACAGTGTAACTTGTTTATGCATAAAAACGGAAAAAATCTGGAAGATAGGTATTGAAAAAATAAGGAATTCTCCTATTTTATTTGGATTTTTAAATATATATCTTTTAAACTTATAAACTTTTCTACGTGCTCACATAACAATGCCAGTTAACTTTTTAGGACTAGTATGAAAATTTGTTCTCTTCTCTAACAAAAATCAGCTAGTAACTTTATGGCCTGGGTAGTTATTTTCTCAGATGTTTAGTTTTTTAATTTATAAAATGAAGGGACTAGAAGTTATTAACTTCAAAGGCAGAATATTATATTGAAGTATATCATTATGACCTACATTTAAATGAAAATTAAGCTTTGTATACTATTATAATATAGAGCATATTCTTTTCACTCCATCAATTTTCTTTTAATCTTTACCTGAGGATATGAGGGTATACTTATTGACTTTGGAGAAGGGAGGGGGAGGAAGGGAAGGAGGGAGGGAGGAAGAAAGAGAGAGAAAGAAAGAGAGGGGGGTGGAGAGAGAGAAACATCAATGTGACAGAGAACATCAATTGGGTGCCTTCTATATGTGCCCCAGTTGGGGATTAAACCCAAAACCTAGGTATATGCCCAGACCAGGAATTAAACCCACAACCTTTTAGTGTATGGGACAATGCTCCACACTGGCTGGGCTCACTCCATCAATTTTTTTTTTTTAAATCCCATGCTTTGCCAGTGAAATGAGATAATGTGGACAAAGCAAATACTAACTGGCACATTGTCAGTAATTTGTGTTCCTTTTCCATATTTGTCAAGCCTCAAAATTCTATGATCCCATAAGGATGAGATGAGGTAAACTAGATACTTTTTAAAGAGGTAATTCTGCCTAGGATATTTCAAAGTGTAATATGCTAATGATATGCTAAGGCCACTCAACTGCTCGCTATAACGTGCATTGACCATGAGGGGGCAGACAGTCGACCAGCTGACTGGAAGCTATTACGTGCACAGACCACCAAGGGGCAAACGCTCCAACGGGTAGGTTAGCTTGCTGCTGGGATCTGGCCAATCGGGACTGAGCAAGACGGGCTAGACACACCCTGGAGCCCTTCCATGGTATCTCCCCAGCTGGCCAACCTCCTGCACCCCTCTCCCGGCCCCTATCGTGCACTGCTGGGGTCCCTTGGCCTGACCTGCACCCTCTCACAATCCGGGACCCCTCAGGGGATGTTGGGAGAGCCGGTATAGGCCCGTTCTAGCAGGCCAGGGGACCCCACTGTGCACAAATTCGTGCATGGGGTCTCTAGTTTATAAATGTTTGTGATATTTATAAAATTCAAAGCATTCTTAGGATACCAAATGAACAATAAGCAGAGGCACATAAAATTAAAGAGATTAATTAGATTTCTTTTTACATATATATATATATATATATATATATATATATATATATATATATATAATTGATTACAGAGAGGGAGAGGAAGAGATAGAAACATCAATGATGAAAATAATTGTTTGACTGCCTCCTGCATGCCCCCTACTGGGGATGGAGCTTGCAACCCAGGCATGTGCCCTTGACCAGAATGAACCCTGGGCCCTTCAGAACACAGACTGATGCTCTATCCACTGAGCCAAACCAGCTAGGGCAGATTTCTAACATTAAAAAATGCATGACTTGCCGAAACCGGTTTGGCTCAGTGGATAGAGCGTCGGCCTGCTGACTGAAAGGTCCCAGGTTTGATTCCAGTCAAGGGCATGTACATTGGTTTTAGGCACATCTCAGGTAGGGGTTGTGCAGGAGGCAGCTGATCGATGTTTTTCTCTCATGGAAGTTTCTAGCTCTCTATCCCTCTCCCTTCCTTTCCCTGTGGAAAATCAATAATATATATATATTAAAAAATGCATGTCTTTATTGGATTCATTTCTAGTGCCATAAAGAAATTCCTCATAACCATATATGAATTATGCAGAGCGTCTATCAAAATATTGGAATGTACTGAGGATTTTCTATCTGATCAATATACCCTAAGCTCAAATGATTTAACTTCCAAAGAGCAAATAGTGGACAATTACTTGCCAAAATCCTAAATTCTTTAACAGTGATTAAACCATTGCGTCAGGCAACTAGCATATAGCACCGAGAAGCGAAGAGCTCAAGAGTAGAAAGTTTATAAAAAGCCAAACTTACCTGATCAAAGCAATATCATCAATCAGTCCACCTTTCCCATTATACACACTAGTGGCTTTTATGCCAAGTTTACTGCTGGCCACAGATAGTAAGTCAGATAAAGTTCCATATACAGCAACCACCTGTAATTTGAACAATTTGCATAATGAATTTCATCACTCATAATCATAAATTACCACACCATAAACTGGATTAAAATGAGATTATTATATAAAAGGAGATTTTGAGAGGTTCTTGAATGTTCCTTTTTTTTCTATGACAAATATTTGCTGAGTGCTTAATATGCTGAAATCTAAAACTAGAGAATCAGAAATTGTCTGACTAAAAGCAAATTGCTATCTTAAAGTATGTTAAATAGTGCTCCAGTTATGCCGCCTGTTGACTTGAGACAATTTAACCTCTTTATGCTTCTGTTGCTTTACCTGGAAATGAAGAAAAATGTCACACCTACATCAGAAGGTTGTCATGAGAATGAAATGAAACAATGCAGTTAAGAGCTTAGCAAAGTGCCTGAGACCTATTAAACCTTTATGCTTTTACATTATTCTGTTGCTATAGGAATTGTTTATTAAAAAAATAGAGGCCCGAAGCACAAAATCCATGCAAGGGGCCGCTGCCATCTCGGCCCCCACAGCCTTGGCTTTGTTGGGAAAGTCATTGGGAATGTCATTTGGAAAGTCGTTCGGCTGTCCAGGTAATTCGCATATTACTCTTTTATTATTATAGATAGGAATGATTTACTGCTGTTTATTATAACATGTATTACATCAACTACCATAAAAAAGCAACAACTTCCCACCTCATTTAATTCCTCAATAACTACTTATTTTATAAAAGCCAAACGTTAGCAAACATTCTAAACACAGGAAGCAGCTGGGTTTGATCTGCCCAGCGGAACTGATCTGTCCTGCCTTCAATCAGGTAGCCTGATGTATGTGTGAGGTATATGCAATTGCTTAGGTAGGGGGACATAAATTAATGCAATGGCATTGAAAAAACAATTTGGCACTATTTTATAAAATTAAAACACTCAGACACCCTAACACTCAATAATTACAACTTAAATATATAGAAACCGTAGTTCTCAAATGTGTAGTCCCTACACAGGCAGCTGGAACTATGGGAATATGTTAGAAACTCAAATCCTAGGCTCACCCCAGACCTGCTAACACTAAAACTTCGGGGTTGGGGTCCAGCAATGTGTTTTCTCAATTCCTACAGGTAATTCTAACGCATGCTAAAGTCTGTGAACCATGGCCCTAGAAAAACAATTGCATGTGTATCAAGATGCATACATATTTATATGCATATGCACAAACATAAACCTGCATATATATATATATAGATATATAGATATATGGATATATAGATATATATAGATATCTATCTTCGTGGAGCACTGTTAATTTAATAGCAAACTATAAAGAAAATAAACAATTCAAATGTCCATTGATAGGATAATGGATAAACTGTGGTAGTATATTTACATATTTATATTCATATAAAAAAGTAAAGCCTAAACCAGTTTGGCTCAGTGGATAGAGCGTCAGTCTGTGGAATGAAAGGTCCCAGGTTCGATTCTGTCAAAGGCATGTGCCTTGGTTGTGGGGGTTGTGCAGGAGGCAGGGGGTCGTGCAGGAGGCAGGGAGTTGTGCAGGAGGCAGCTGGTCGATGTTTCTCTCTCATGGATGTTTCTGGCTCTCTGTCCCTCTCTCTTCCTCTCTGTAAAAAAAATCAATTAAAAAATATATATATAAAGAAGTAAAAATGAATAATGTACTACTATGTGGAACACTATGGATGGAATCTTAGATACATTATATTAATAGCCAACTCCTAAAAGACTACATGCAATGAGATACCAAATTAGGATATATTTCACAAAAGTGACAAACAAAAAATATATAGTATAGTTATACATACATAAGTGACAAGACTACTATTAAAAAAGCATGACAAAAAGGAATACAAATTATGAAAATGGAATAGGCAGGGAGAAAGGAAAGTAGATGAATACATTAAGTTATTGGTAATAAAGTATTTCTTGGATTGTGTGGCAAGCTTACTGAAATTTGTTATTCTTTAATATTTTCTTTAATATGTATCAAATATATTTTAAAACCGTTTAACATGAAGAGCAAGCTCTCACAAGGTTCTTATTAATAATTAATATTTAGATTTCAATAAGCAAAAGTTCACATAGATTTTCAACTGTCTTCAACTCTAACAATATAATGGGCTCAAATCTGGATATATATATAATATCAACATATTTCTGACCTAATAGCAAAGCCAGAAGAAAACAGTTACTTCCTGGACCAAGACTATAAACATCAGTAGAGAATTAAGATCTATTTCACATCCCACTAAGCCTGCAGCCTGGCAAGGTGCCTCCATACGAAGACGGCACTCTATTAGTGTTGGCTGAATGAATAAGGTACCCAAGAGACCTATGCTTTGCACAACTTATGTTCAAGAGACACAGAAACTCTGAATTGTCATCAGGTTGCTCAGAAGCCACTTGCTATACTCAGGTATCCCGAGTCCTCATTTCAATTTTAACGCCAGCTATTAGATGGAATAATAAAAAGAGAACAATGGGAATTCTGAGCATATGGAGAAAGGATGAAAGGCAATTTTTAAAAAATTCAAACTCAAAGAATATGATTTTCTAAACAACATGAGGACTTTTATTGACTGCAGTAAATATGTCCTAAATGTTTATCCATAAATTTAGTGAAATTTTGCCAAATACCAAATTGACTTTAAATATGAAAAAAAAAGAAGTTAAAGAAAAAAATTCTGAAATGGTTTATTTTCATGTGCTGGAAAATATTTTTAAATGTCTTGCTAATTGGGATGATCTCATTCTACCACTGGGTAATATTTCGAAGAAAAATAGTACAAATTAAGGAAGCACTTATTGTCAATAGCAGTTATTACATAAGAGTTCAAACAGACTTCTTTAAAATCTGGCACTTCCCGACTTCTCAGATCCAAAGGGATCCACCATTAAAAAAAATCTCATAGTTTATATTAGGAGAAGGGGCAGCGCTGCCGTTTTCATTATTTGTTCTTGCAGGATTATAGTGTCTTCAACCCACCAATTCTTTGAAGAAATCTTTCAATGCCACTTGGCACAGTGGTGAGGGTTAATTTAGTGAAAAAAATGGATAGTAAGACTCTTAACCTGGTACTTGGTAGCTTCCATACATCACAACCTGCCAAAGTGAACTAACCCGTGAAGAAGCTGCCCACTGAACACACTCCCTGCTCTCAGACTTGGGACCAGCAGACATGTTGGGTGGCGGAAAGCATCCCTGTCTTTCCAGAATGGAACAAAAAGAAGTTGTAACATTATTTTATGTTTTTAAGAAAAAACCATAAATCTTAAACTGCACTGGATCCTCTTGTGCAGCATCTCACTGCGGAAAGCACTGTTTGAGAGAATACACAGTCCTCTCTTCCACATTGTAACATTCACTAGTTACACTTTGTTTATTCACTAACTAGAGGCCCCAGGCATGAAATTTGTGCAAGGGGCTCAGCCCTCACAGCCATAGCTTCTTTCCGAAGGATGTCCGGAAGGTCACTTGGCTGTCCCGTCTAATTAGCATATTATGCTATAATAATTATAGATTACACAGAAGCGTCATGATGACCATATTTTGTCCCCTGCTGGGACTCTATACCTTCCTACCCCAGCTTCATAGACTTGTCTGGTAACCGATAAATAAGCTATATAGGACAATAACTTATTTGAAAGAAAACAAAACAAAAACTGACATTCTGATGAGCAGGAAACAAATATACAAGCTACAAATAAGAAGATAATGGAAGTGACACAGATGTTCCAACTGTTGGATGGGAAAATCAAACTCTATTTTGTAGTAATTTTCCCCCCCAGCCTGTTCTTCATGAACATCATGTCATTATTATACCATCCTAGCTAAATACAGTCATTTTATATATGTAAAAACGCAGGCTGTTATGTATTATTCTGCTCTCTTTTGTCAAATAAAATAATTCTAATACATTTATTTGTAATCAGCCGAAGGGAGAGGAGAGGAAACACTGACAACTCTGGCACAGAATGTTTCCCAATTGAGTAGTAAGGATTATTGCATGACATTTTTAATATTGACTCATACTAGTATTTTTCAATTTGGGTTTTTATGATTTTTAATAAAAACACTGACCTTTAGTTATTTGAGATGTGTTTTTCCAATCTTCTGGGATTCTCTAGCCAAATATTTTTAAAGCAAATAAAATTTAAATCCAAAAATCTAACTCAGTCAAATCTGGACAGCTTAAAAAATGTATTAAAGATAATATGGCAAGACTAACACAGGAGAAATTTACAGTATAAATACCGTGCCTGGTCTAAACATCTTGTCTTTCATGGAATAACAGCAGAGAGATTGGATGAAAAGGTGCAGCAGAGGCCGTTTTGAGGACATATTACAATGGTAACTTTGGAAATACTAAAGCTTTCTTCCAGTAACAACCTAAGTATTAGATTGTGAATGTAGTTAACAACAGATAAAACAGGCTATTTTATCTGTTGTTAATGTAAATCTTGGGAAGTAAAAATGTAAATGTAAATCTTGGGAAGCATCCTTTAAGGCAGCATTTATGAAAATTCAAACACTTGAATTTACTCCAGTTCTCTAAGACCAGAACACAAAATCATAGTCAACAAACTACAATGTGGTTCACATTTTTAGAGCATGTTTAAAACCGCAGAGCAAGTTGGAAAAATCATTTCCTATACCATGGCGCCATGACACTATTCAGAAATGGACCATGTACGTATGTTTCCAAATCATGCAGGAGTCACAGCATTCTGGCAGGTAAACACAGCGAGGCCAGTGTGCTTTTACCTTGAGACTCTCAGGCTTAGTTAGTCTGAATGTCACTTGGCCCGCACCACAAAGTCAGCCTGGAACAGTCACATTTTCCAAAGCAGGCGGACAACTTTTCATTGGGTGGGGCGAGCGCTGAGAAGGAAAGGGATTCCTTTTGGATTGCTCCGGCGGGTGGAAAAATATTTAACACCACGCCCTCAACAGAGGCCTAGCGCGGAGAGGAGACCTGTCAAACCGATCCCTTCTGGCCTAGGGTCCCAGGCCCCTAACCGAAATATAAGGCGAGATAAAGAGAGCACAAGTTTGGCTGCGAAGGGCTTGGGGGGCACCGGGGAGAGAAGGCACCGCCAGGAAAAGATCCCTAACTTCCGATCCCCTCTTAGACCTAGGATACAGGAGCATCTCATTTATTCACTGATAGAGCTTTATTACTATTACTAGTATCATTATCATTATTATTATTATTTTTGAATGATCAAGCTTGCATGCCACCACTCTCCGGAGCAGACCATAGCCAGCACCCAGGTGGGAAGGCGCGCTTCCCCGGGCCGGGGTGTGGGCAGCGGGGTCTTCCGGGGGCGGCGGGCAGAGGAGCGCCCGCACCCAGCGCCGGGGTGACCGCGGCCCTCCCGGCCCCACACCGGGGCGCGGGCACCGTGAGGCGCCCGCTGACCTGCGCCAGTCCCCGGGCGGCTGGGGAGGGAGCCCAAGGGCAGGCTCCGGGGAGGAACCTGGGGGCTGGGAGGAGCTGCGGGGACCCCATCTTCACCTCCCAGACACCCGCCATCCCGCTCACGCCCCCCGCCCAGCCCCTCTCCCCAACTTCAGCCCGGCGCCCCGCGAGCCCGCTCCGCACTCCGCGGCCCCGACCCCCCGCAGCCCGGCCCGGCCCGGCCCGGCCCGGCCCGGCCCGCCGCCTCCGGCCCCCTCACCTTTCCGTTCCGGGGGCTGCCGTTCAGGAACAGGGTCACCCGCCGCATCGCGCCGACCCCGCCGGGTCCCGAGTGAGTCGCCACCCTCCCGCCTGGCTCCGGTCCCACCTTTTTCTCCTCCCGCCCTTCCCCTCCCTCCACCCACTCGGACGCTCCCCCCTTCGCCACCTTCCTTCTCATAGACACCCGCACACAGGCGCGCACTCTCCGTCCCTCGGCCCCGGGGTGGCCGGTCCTCCTGCCCGCCCCGCCTCTGGGCGCTTTAGCCAGCCTGGGGCCCTTCCCCTAACTCCCTCCCCCCCCTCCAGAGTGACTCTAAGCTCGACCAATCAGCAGGCAGCACCGGTCAGAACTCCGCCAATCACCACCCTGTAACTGGGTGGGCTCATTCTGACTCCGCCCACCCGGTGGAGGGAAGAGCGCGCGGCTGCAGTCTGGCAGGGAAGGGTTCCCAGCCAATCAGAGCAGACCTCGGAGCCGAACGGCGGCTCGAAGCGCTACGGAGCAGGCGCCAACCCAACGCCAGGTAGATCTCATCTGCATACGGAGGCGGGGCTTGAGGGAACTTGGGACTCTGAAAGTGACTGACAGGAATCAGCGCCCGCGGCTGTTTGTGACCCCTCCTAGGCGCCACCGTCGGAGGAAGCTCGCTGATTGGGTGAGAGCCGCTCCATCGTTCTGTCGCGATTGGTCCAATGAGTCTTTTCGAAGTTTGCAGCAACCAATGGAGAAATAGAAGGGGCGGGCCGAAGGTCTAACCGTAAGGGTTCCTCCGCGAGACGCTCACGGTAGGTAGTCCCCCACGGACGCGGGTTAACAGGTGTCCCCTCGGCCCCGTGAGTCCCCCGCAGCCAGCGGTCGCTTCTCTCCGAAATCACGAAGCCACTCGAGTTCCCGGGTCGGGGAAGGAGGGGCCTGGGAGCTTTCGGGGTGCGCGCGGACAGGTGGGGGCGGCGGCGGCGGCGCAGAGGTTCCCGGAGTAACGTCCCTGTGCGAGGGGGCGGGGCGGGCGATTTGAATCGGGCGGCGGGCGGCGGCCGCGCGTGGCTGCGGCGCAGGGTCAGCGGGCGGCGGGTCGGAGTGGTTGGCGGCCCGGGACGGGGCAGTCCTCCGCCCAGGCTGCTGGCTCTCGAGCGGCGAGCCCCTCGGGACGGAAGAGCCGAGGTTTAGAAGGCAAGGCCGCCACGACACGGGCGTCCAGAGTAAATCCCGGGCGAGAGGAGCGTCCGGCGCGGCGGCAGGTAGGGCTGGGCTTTCAGGTGTCCTGCGCGGCGGCAGCGCTGGTTCTCGGAAGTGCCTTCTGCTCCTCCTGCCCCCGGAGATCCCGGTCCTCCCGCGGCCTGGGCCGCTGCAGCCCGTGTGCTTTTCAGCTTTCTGGGGCCCGGCCCGACCTCCTGAGCTAGGGTTTCCGGGACCCCACCGAGCTAGCGAGGCCTTCGGCGGGGCACCCAGATGACTCGGATGTTCGCTAAGATTGAGAAGCTACATGGCTCATAGCGGCGATCGTCAACCCTTTATTCATCTCATGGCACACACAAAATTCTGTTGCATACAAAAATATATATATTTTTGCCAATCTGACAAAAAAAAATTTAGGTGTGATTTGGATTCATTCACACCCGACGACTATTGTGTTGGCTGTTGTCATTTTTTTTTTTTTAAGTTTTATTTGACAATCTAAGCGTAAAAGAGGTCAGGGCCCCCGACGACACAGTCAGGCAGTGCATGTTTTTAAAAATTCTTGCAGCACACTGGCTTAGAGTATGGTTTGTGTGTGTGTGTGTGTGTGTGTGTGTGTGTGTGTGTGAATATCAACAGTTTCCTCTCTTTCCCTCTAATTTGAATTCCAAAAGTACTCTCCACATCTAATTTCATGCCAGTATAGATTGTATTAGAGTTCAGTCTCGAATGAGAATCTTCATTTAAATCACATTAATCTGGGGAATGGGATTCTTTTTTCTCTTCTCTCTCTCTTTTTTTAGATGGACACCAATTTAAAAGACAGCGAGCCCTTTGAAACCATGGAGCCTGCTATTAATGTTGGTATGTAGTGATCCGTCGCCTCCTTGTGAAATTAAAGATTTAGGTATTTGTCTTGGTAATGATGCTTCATTAGCCCCCTCAATGCTTTGTCTGTTTCAGAAAATGCCTCTTTCCCTTTGGGAAATGGGGATCTTGTAACATCCCAGAAGCCTGCGGCTGAAGTGATTGCTAATCCTGGCACACCAGATAGTTTTAAATCACCTTTGGACTTTTCCACAGTAACTGTACAGCAATTGGGAATTACATCGGAAAGCTTTGTAAAGAACTCTGCAGGTAAGAGAAGTATTTCAGTGCTTTTAAAGTTTAAAAATAAGTGTAATATAACTCAATTTGTTCCTTATCCTGTGTACCTTACTGCTTTTCGTATCTAAATTGATTGACTCTGAAAACTTGTTTGGTCAGACTTCTGTGGACATGCATCGTTCATCCAGCATAGGGCCACCGAGCGTGATTATGTTCCTAAGTCAGAGTTGTCTTCCTGCCCAAACTGGAAAAGATTGGGTGTGTAAATCACATTTTGACCCAACACATGCGACAGAGGAGTGTGAATACTATAAGTAGTAAGACATTTTAGGGTCACATGACAAAATAAGAGAAATTTGAAGAGCAAATAAGAAAATATTACATAAAGTTTGCTTCTTTGGAAATCACAAACAGAGAATTGGCTCAAACTAATCATCAAGAAGCAGAAGGAAAATTCCACTGTGAAGTCTGACTTAGATGAAGGAGAAATACGGGAGAGGGATTAGATTTGAGAATAACATTTAGAAATGGAAGGTAATGGGGGAGGTGAAAGTCAAAGGGCACTAGATTAATACCTGATTTGAGACAAGACTAAAGTGGCACGCCATTCTAAGAACATCACTCTTAGACGTGCAAAAATCTACATTTATTTCCTGTGCTTAGACATGTGGCCAGAATTCAGGGTAATGTGCCAAAGCTAGATAGATATCCGAGAGAAACACCTTACCTTGAAGATTTGAGAGCAGGAAAGTGCATGTGCCTCAGTGGACATCTCTCCTTTCAGTCCTTGGGGATTAGACTGTAATTCAGAAAGAGAGAAAGTTTTGGTCCAAAGCAAGTCATTATTTGTGTGCTATAATATGAAAAAAAAAGTGAGATCTATTAATTATAAATTTATTCATACATTCATTCCACACAACTTTGTGTGTGTGTGTGTGTGTGTGTGTGTAACCTGTATAATAAAGGAATATGCTAATTATCTGTTATGCTGTGAAGTGTAACAACCAGATCATGGGGTCAGAAGGGGGGGGCAGCAAACTACCAGCGGGCAGCGGAGAGCTACAGAAGGGTGCAGGGCAGCAAGCTCTGGGCTGGGGAGAGTCCCAAGAGGGTGGGGCAGGGGCGGAGAGCTACAGGAAGGCGGCAGTGAGCTACTGGCTACAGGCTGGCTGCGGAGAGCTACAGCAGGTTGGCAGTGAGCTACTGGTACACTGATTTGTACACAGGGCTACTAGTCTTATATAATAAAAGGCTAATATGCAAATTGATCGAACTGCAGAATGACCAGTTGTGATGACATGCACTGACCACCAGGGAACAGACACCCAAAAAGGAGCTGTCCCTTGGTGGTCAGTGAGCTCCCACAGGGGAGCGCTGGTCAGCCACAACCCTGGCTAATGGCTGGCGGTGGCAGGAGACTCGCCCGCCTCTGTGGCATAGCTAAGGATGTCCGACTGTGGGGAGCAGGCCTATGCCATCAGTTGAACATCCTCTGAGGGCTCTTGGACTGCTAAAGGGTGCAGGTTGGGCTGAGGGGACCCCCCCTTTCAAGTGCACAAATTCGTGCATGGGTGGGGTCCCTCAGGGTGGCCGGAGGGGATTGAGCCCAAACTGACAGTCCAATACTGCCTGCTGCTCCCACTCATCCTGACCCCCCTGCGCCCAGTCAGTCCTGATTGGAAGAGGCTTGTGCCACCACAGTGGTGCTTGCCAGCCATGAGTCCTGCTCCTGGCGCCTGTCCCAAGGGGGTTTTGGGGGTTCGGAATGCGACCTGCCCTCTGGGTAGGCAGTGAGACACCCTTGCCCTCTTGAGATCTGGATCCGTCTTGCTGATGTTTGTGCCGGTTCAAGGCTGCAACTGAGGTATGTGCCCTCGACTGGAATCCAATCTGGAACTTCAATCCATGGGCTGGCGCTCTATCTACTGAACCAAACTGACTAGGTTCCACCCAACTATCCTAGCTAATAAAGAGGAACATGCAAATTGACCCATCATACCATCACAAAGATGGAGGCGGGTTTCCAGACATAAGATGGCTGTGCCCACAGCGGAGGCTGGGTTTCCATAACACAAGATGGCTTCACCCATAGCAGAGGCCGAGTTCCTGTAATGAGCCTTAACGAGCAATCGGCAGGGACCTAAGCCTGCGTGGAGCTGGGCCATGACCCCTGCCCGGCGTGGCTTGACGGGGACCTCAAGGTTCGCCCCCCACTCTGGTGCTGGACCTGCGGACCTCAGGCTGCTTCCCCCACCCGGACTGGGAAACAGGCTGCGCCCCCAACCCTGGCTCTGGGGGATCTGAGGCTGCGTGCCCCCCTCTCTCCCCATAAGACTTGACGGGGGAATCTCAGTCCTCAACCCCTACCTGGCGGGGCTTGATGGGGGACCTCAAGCCACTCCCCTCACCTTGTTGCTGGGCTGGGAGATCTCAGGCCACATCCCCACCCCTGCACCAGTTCGGGGGTCCTCAGGCTTTGTTGCCTGCCTGGTGGGGCTTGACGGGTGACCTGAGGCTGTGCCCCCCACCCTGTGGGTCTTGATGGGGGCCCTGAGGCTGGCCCCCCCACACACCCTGTGGGTTTTGATCGGGGCCATGAGGCTTCGCCCCCTACCCGATCGGTTTTGAAGGGGGACCTGAGATTGTGCACCCTGCCCAGCGGGACTTAAAAAGGGTAGCTCTGGTCGGGTCTGGATCTCGTCCAATGGGGGTGGGGCTAACCGGGTCTGGGACTCTCGCTATTTTGAGGTGCCACAGAGGGG